AAAATATGTTTCTAATCAAAACTAACAAATTTCATAATGGAATATTATTTACTTTATTAAAGGTGTGTGACAGAGTAAATATGACCAAATTTAATGCATTTTTAAATTTAAGTTTCAAACATGTGACTGGTTTATTAAGTACTATAATTACTAAAACATTAAATTAATATAATATCCCATAATTTCACTTATAAAAATATATTCATAGCATAGATTTTCCAAATTTCATCCCCCAATCTTGCTAAATAATTCAATGCCTATTCAAACTGTCAAATGCTAGGCTTCCATGACACTACTCATACTGTCAGATACCAGAATACCGTGGTAAGATGGGTAATGTGACCTACCTATTAGTAGTCTCATCTTCATAAATAATCTAACATCACAGAAACATGAAACACATCCTCCGTAATCATAAAACACTGTCCACTGAGACAATAATTAACTATGAATACACGTCTGAACGATAGTACCGCACTGGTTGTTAAAATTATTTTAAAGGTAGAGAAAAGAACACATACCTTTACGAACGGTCCTATGGTTGTCAGTTGTCAGCCAGGAACCAATAAACCTTGCAGGAATGACAAATAACCGATCATATTATTCCGAAATATGTAAACTTTTACGACTGTCAACAGCGGTGACAAACAAAGCGCGGGAGTATACTTGGTCTCGTCTACAGAGTTAGCTTTGGCGGTCGCGCATTTCGAAAGCAGAACTAGTTCATGAGTTTTGGCATGTCACCGGAAATGCTGGTACCGGAAGTAGCGCTTCGCGAGACTTACGGGCCCTATAATCTAATGAGATAGGTCTGACTTAAGAATACCATACATTACTTTACTTGCCTGAAGTGAAGCATTTGCAATATTATTCCACCATGTCAATGTCTTCGAAAAGATCCGCGATTTTTGTACAGTGAAACATTTTCAATATAAGAAATTCTGTAATACCACTCTTCGGGTTTAGATAAAATACTCCTAAGTCAGAATTTTTGTTGTATTCAACATATACAAACAAATCAATATAAAAACTGGTTTAATGTTTTAATACGTCGGTGTAAACCATAAACATAGTCATAGGCAAGCATAACGACGTCAGCCAATATACACGTTTTGTTTTTTGTTTGTTTGTTGTATGACGATGGTCTGTAAATAATTGAGTCTGTACAAAACAATCCAGTGATTGACATCATGCGCAAAGATCCACGGAAGTGCGATACGATGACATGCATCAACCAATTCAGCGAGCCTGACTTCCCGATCCCGTAAGTCGCCTCTTACGACAAGCACAATTGCCTTTTACGGCAAGCATGGGTTGCTGAAGACCTATTCTACCCCGGATCTTCACGGGTACAAATATACGCCTAGCACAACGGCAAATATACACGTAGCACAATGAACATGACCAAGCAACATTGAAAGCCTGGTGATATACTGAGGGAAACAAATAAGGGAACAACACTTCATCGCAGGCTCCCTAAATTTAGCCCCAGGTGTTTACCCACAGTGAAATACAACGCTCGCGAAGAAACCCGGAAAAGAATAAAGGGACGCATGTACTTTGTGTACATGTGTTCCCCCTTGTTTTCCTCAGTGATTTTGCTGAACGGTACAATGTCCTTACCCTGCTCTTCACACACAGACAGCTTCTTGTAGAATCAAGTAGAAACCATTTGTGAACATATTATAACACCACCGGCTGTCGCGATTCAGTTAGTGTGTGTTTCCGTTGTGGCATGTATGTAAACGCATTTAGATATAATATATAAATATATGGCATTCACGTCAATTTGTACGTACAAATCACTTTAAACAGGAATGCTGATTAACTATACATATTTCAAATAGCGTATGGCACACAGCTCAAACATCTGGTGCAGACTACTAATGGGATTGACTGATTAATAGATGTGTTCACAGAAACAGAGTCAATGTGTGCACGGTAATCATATCTGAAGATTAATTGTTACCCTGATCTTCACGGGGACTATACGTGGTAGTTATAACATTTGTGTATTATGCAGAAATGGAATTCAATTGTGGCGTATTTAGGTAATGTGTTTCCCTAGGTCTTCCTGGACACGCGGGGACACGGGTGGCCCAGTCGTCTAAGACGCTACGATTCGCTGTGCAGAGCTGCGTCCCTTAGGCACTCCAGAAACCTATGATTGTGGGTTCGAATTTAAACACAGTTCTGTGTGTGAATACTTTTCTAGATAGATCTAGTTCTAAATACCTCAATACAGTAGCTATATGTTTACCAATAGCCTAACTTTCTCTACATTTGCGTTAGATAACTAATAGCTTTATCAACGAGTTATATTTCAAATAATAGTTGAGCATGCACTTTATCTACAGATGATAGAAATCTCTTGGTCATAACTTGAAGATAACTAATTTCTTGCATGTTAACACTTTCTCAGTTATTCCGGGGGCACGGATGGCCCAGTCGTCTAAGGCGCCGCGATTCGATGTGCAGAGTTTCGTCCCTTGGGCACGCCAGAAACCTATGATTGTGGGTTCGAATCCCGGTTCGACCCGATTATGTTTCTAGGTTTGTCAGCACCATACCCATGCTCGTGGGTTTCACCGAAGTGGTAAACGTCTGAGACCTGCATCACTTCGGGCTTTCCTCCCACATTAAGCTGAGACGCCGTGATATGACTGGAATACTTTTAAAAGCGGCGTTAAACCCAACTCACTCACTCACTCACTACTGGACACGCTTACCCTTTTCGCTAACGCCTGGTGTCATCACTGATTTTCACTGATTTCCATCGTTATTTTGCCTTTTACACCCTAATGAATCTGTTTGGGCAGATAATCCAGACTGATTATTCTCTGGCGTTGACGTTTTGAGTTAAAAGTCTGGTCATTTATTATAGGGGGTTCGAGATGGGAGGTGGGAGGTGAGATTATCACAACTGTACACTTTAAAAATTAGGGGATACTCAGAAATAACTTTAAATTTCCAACATTGTAAGAGATATTAGTTTTCAGTAATCGTTGTGTACTAATAATGAACGAAATGGGAACACAATTACCACTGGTAGTGAAGTAGGACAGATGTTAAGACCGCCAATGAAGTAGTGAATGAGTATGGTTTTACGCCGCTTGTAGCAATATTCCAGCAATATCACGGCGGGGGACACCGGAAAATTGGCTTCACACATTGAACCCATGTACGGAATCGATCCCGGGTCTTCGGCGTGACGAGCCATCGCTTTAACCACTGGGCTACCACACCGCCCCTGACCGCAAAAGATCTTGAAGGACGATAGGGGTAAGATGAGAAATTTCAAGTTGACGTTTATTCATCATATGTGCGTAATACCGCCACGAATTGTCAAGCATTCATTCACTCGAAGACGCATACTGATTATGAGCCTCCAAATGGCGATTTGAGGTAGTCTGTCCCACTCCTCTTGCAACGCTAGCTTAGCCAACGTGGTCCGCGGCATATGACGTTGACACACACGTCTTCCCAGACGTTTTCATTGGGGAAAAGGTCAAGGCTGATTGCTAGCCATGGTATTCTATGGCTGTGGTGCTGCTGGGGATGAGCATTGACGGTTCGGGCACGGTGAACACGCGCGTTGTCGTCGTGGGTGCCGTTGTACAAAACAACCTTGGCGCTACGACTGTCGTAAGTCTATGTTAAGGTATGGGAGTTACTATCACCTTAGCGCTAAGATCGCTTTGTACAACGGCACCCTGAAAGACAAAACATCGACCCACACGCAATATGGAGTTGGATTCGCACGTTCATAGTGATGCCAATCCACAACATTATCGATCCATCGCTAAATCTGTCATGGGGTCTCAGATTGCCATTGGCTTGACAGAACAGAACATCAGGCCCATATACTCAACATATGAGGTACAAATGCATGACAAATACAAATTATATGATGGCGGAAGAGGGTTTTCATGATGACTTAACACAAATCATGAATGATATCACTTTTTATTTTTTGTCAATAATTCCATTTAGTGATATCTAAAACTACATCGGATTTATTATTATCTCAAAATTGACCTTGTGCACGTGAGCACACACAATACCAACAACACTTGACTAATGCGAATGCATAGAAATGTTAACGATCCCCATGCTTGGGCATATATCCATATTCAAAGGTGGTTTCAAGGAGTGACAAATCAGCTAAGTAGCGCCATTACAGTGCAAACTGTTAAAATGTCTTTTTATATCGGTATTGATATGACTGATGACAGTCGTATAATGTGTACAGGCTCGCTGACTTGGTTGATGCATGTCATCGTATCCCAATTGCCTTGATCGATGCTCATGATGTCAATCACTGGATTGTCGGGTCCAGACTCAATTATTTACAGACAGCCGTCATATAGCTGGAACACTGCTAAGTGCGGCGTTAAACAACAAACAAACATATAATTTGGACCTGACAAAGTAATATCCACAAACAGTTTTTTTATATAAAAGCTAACATTTGGTACACATGCTATTTGATGTGATCGACGAATCACATGCAGAAATATTGATGAGCTAAAAATAGGTCCCTCTCGTCTTTCAAGAGTCATTTGTGCATGTGTGCATTTAAATATATATTTAAACACAGTTCTGTGTGTGAATACTTTTCTAGATAGATCTAGTTCTAAATACCTCAATACAGTAGCTATATGTTTACCAATAGCCTAACTTTCTCTACATTTGCGTTAGATAACTAATAGCTTCATCAACGAGTTATATTTCAAATAATAGTTGAGCATGCACTTTATCTACAGATGATAGAAATCTCTTGGTCATAACTTGAAGATAACTCATTTCTGGCATGTTAACACTTTCTCAGACATTCCGGGGGCACGGATGGCCCAGTCGATTCGATGTGCAGAGTTTCGTCCCTTGGGCACGCCAGAAACCTATGATTGTGGGTTCGAATCCCGTTTCGCCCCGATTATATTTCTAGGTTTGTCTGTCAGCACCATACCCGTGCTCGTGGGTTTCACCGAAGCGGTAAACGTCTGAGACCTGCATCACTTCGGGCTTTCCTCCCACATTAAGCTGACGCGCCGCGATATAACTGGACTACTATTAAAAGCGGCGATAAACCCAACTCACTCACTCACTCTCAGACATTCCCTGTCTCTGCTAGACAGACCGTATCTTCATACATACGTTGCATGCAGCTCTGCAGTTGCAGAATTGGTCATCATGCATTGATGGTGTGCCAAACCACCCCCAGGTGCTAGAAAGGCCTGAGTCTTCATATACACTTGTTGCATGTCAAACATAGCCAAACATTCATCGTCTCGACAGCTGCTAGAAAGGCCTGTGTTTTCACACACTTATATCATGTCAACTGATAGTCTAACATTCTCCGTCTTTGCTGGGTTGGTCCGTTTCTTCTTTTTCGCCTGTAATCTCCATAGCTTCATACACTGGTTGGTCGTCATCGTCAGCATCTGTCCCTTGGTTTACGTAGTTGTCTTCGGTGACATTTTCTGCTCCCATTGCAAGATACTCTGACTCCGCCAAAGGATCATGGATTGGCACCTCGTACCTGTAGATGAAAGTATGAGAAAGTCAAGGAGGATATCAAGATTTGCAATATCACGATGAAGTTGTTTTCCTGGTCCAGAATTCTGTTCAACTTCAACAGCCAGTTCGTTAACGGATGTCTCAAATAGAATGGGGCTTAACAAATAACCTTGACGTACTTCTCCAGTACACTGAAATATTTCAGAAACTTAATGTTTAAACTTGATGCTAACCTTAACAGCTGTGTAAATAGACTGCATAGCTTTAATTTTGTAAGAAACACCTCTATTGAACAATCTGATGCAACCCGTGAAATCCTGGTTACGATAGGTCCTAGAATCCCATTGAGCTGACTAAATTGAATTGTGTAGTAGGCCATGAGACATGGGCGATTGCTCACAATCGTGCTCTGATAGTGGATATTGCTCACTGTTTTGCCTGGTCCAGAATCGGTATTATGCAGGATGCTGTTATATAGCTAGAATATTGCTGACTGCAGCGTTGATCAAATTTCACTCAATCACTCGGTTGCATTTTGCATATTAATACAGCCTGCATACTTCTATTCAACCCAACCTTAAACACACTTTTTTTATTATAAATAAAACATGTCATTCATTATTTAATTTGTCTTCCATAAGAATATATAATTTTCCATGTCAGAGAAATGACAGTGGCAGTATTTGTGTTAAGATTCACAACCTGGATATGGATACATGCAGCGGCTATGAGCTAGAATGTGGAGTATATTCAAATTCAAAGCTGTTTCAGTCATATACTAATACGCCAAGCTAGAATGTTGAGTATATTCAAATTCAAAGCTGCTTCAGTCATATACTAATACGCCAAGCTAGAATGTGGAGTATATTCAAATTCAAAGCTGCTTCAGTCATATACTAATACGCCAAGCTAGAATGTGGAGTATATTCACATTCAAAGCTGCTTCAGTCAGTTCAATATACACGCAAACACCGTTGTGTCGAAGTAGAAGAGACCTAACGTAATTATATCGAGTTATCCGAGGTTCGACAAAACCGAAAAATGAACTTGGCATACATTTACTGATTGGCCTGAAGCATGAATTACATGAAAAATGCGACAATCAAACAGCAAGAAAATGAAACAAATGTCCAACATTACTTTTGTCATTATTGTCAATAATGTTATAGTAGTTAACTGAATCTATTACCATACATAATATGCGTACATTTGTGACTTACTGAAATTATAAAATACTTACAATACTTAATTTGTGAATTACTAAAATTATAAAATACTTACAATACTTAAAAAAAGCGAGATCGACTTATCAGAAGAAATGTGTTCTGAAAGTACATGTTTAATTAGGACTGGAAAATGACTTCGAGACAACAGTAACGTCGAGACATCCGATTCGACACATCATAGGTTAAATGATGATGAATAAAGAAGGAATACGCGGGCACCAATCTTTCACTTCGAGACAACCATAATTTCGACACATCAAAGTTCGACACGACGGTGTTTGACTGTATAGGCGATCTGATGTCCATTTGGGTCAGGCCTCGACGTTGTGGTTTGTGCCCTGCCATTAGTTTCAAACTATGACATTCTCCTTATGTAAATAGGGTTATCATTAACTGCTAACTTTGCGCAGAGTAAAATTGTAACGTATAAACAAATTTTCAAGTAACTTCAATTAAATTTGGTTGGACTACCAGTTGCCAAGACCCGTGAAGATCCGGGGTAGAATAGGTCTTCAGCAACCCATGCTTACCGTAAAAGACGACTGTGCTTGTCGTAAGAGGCGACTACCGGGATCGGGTGGTCGGGCTTGCTGACTTGGTTGAAGCATGTCATTGTATCCCAATTGCGTGGATCGAGTCTCATGATGTCAATCTCTGGATTGTCTGGTCCAGACTCGATTATTTCCAGACCGCCATCATATAGCTGGAATATTGCTGATTGCGGCTTTAAACAACAAAGAAGCAAACAAAAACTATATAGTTGCCCTGATGCCTGTCCCCCTAAACACTAGACATAACGCACTGTTGTATACCGTACATTTCAGAGTCATCGTCTTCAAATGCAGTATTTTCAAATCCGGGCTGTTTTTCTAGATCTGTGGGCTGACTGTTGTTCGCGCTCGACACATTCACGGCGGCGCCAGGCTTGTCACTGCATTTGGAAACAAAGTATGACGGTATTTGTCCTCTGTAGTGTGAGTGAGTTGGGTTTAACGCCGCTTTTAACAGTATCCCAGTTATATCACGGCGTGTCAGCTTAATGTGGGAGGAAAGCCGGAAGTGATGCAGGTCTCAGACGTTTACCACCTCGGTGAAGCCCACGAGCACGGGTATGGTGCTGATTCATTTTGTTAAGTTAAGTTTTAATTTAAACATAATTAACTCACATAAAAAGGATTGGGCACAATTTACCACAACTCAGATCGCCCTCTACCATTTTGTTACGAGAATATTGATGGTACAATCTGTGCGACGCGTTTCACATACCTTACTGACTTCTTTAGGACAGAACTACTGTTCACAGCGGACCTCGCTGGTTGATGGGTGCTCTTCACATGTCTCCGTTGAGCATCAGTTGCCTGGGACACAGTCGGTTCTCTCGGTCTCAAGAGACTTGTAAAGACAAGGCCTACCCGACTTCGACGCAATCTGTCTCGAAGACTGTTGTTATGACCGTCCGGTGCTACTGACTGTTGACGACTGATCGCAGCAGCCCCTCTGGGAAAACACATGGTGACGTTAAGGTTCCTGAGATGAGGTGAAATGGGGTTTAACGTCGTGTTCAAGATTATTGCACTTACCCCTCTCAGTATACTGAGTATACACAGTATACTGATAGCAGTTCTTGTTTCACAGCCTTAATGCCGAGGGACAGGCAGAGAAACAACAAGTGCCATCTTTTGACGTATTTTGGTGTTGGGAATCGAACCACCCACCTTTCGCTCCCAGAGTCGACGATCTATCCACTAGACCACGGACGCGGTTCTAACATTACGGAGGTCTATGGGCTTATTTAACGTTGTATAATTCTTGTTTAATTATGAAAGACATTGTTGATAAATTGTTTGATAGGCATTACTTAGAAGTTGACGGATGACAAAGTAGACACAATGTATAGATAACAACTGCTTTGTTTACTGTAAAGTTTTCTTTTAGTGGACTGCTTCTTTTAGTTTTGAAGTCTATGACTTCACTGAAAGAAAACTAACAGAAGCCGTCCACATTCGTCTCCGAAAACCATCAATGAACAAAGATTAAGCTATTTCATCCCGTCCGCCAACTATGACCTCATTAAGCAATAATCACCCCACCCATGCATACTTAATCCTATTCAATTGGCTTCCTGTCTTATGGGGGGCACGGGTGGCCCAGTCGTCTAAGGCGCCGCGATTCGCTGTGCAGAATCGCGTCCCTTGGGCACGCCAGAAACCTATGATTGTGGGTTCGAATCCCGGTTCGCCCCAATTATGTTTCACCGAAGTGGTAAACGTCTTAGACCTGCATCACTTCGGGCTTTCCTCCCACATTAAGCTGACACGCCGTGATATAACTGGAATAATGTTAAAAGCGGCGTTAAACCCAACTCACTCACTCACTCACTCCCTTCCTGTCTTATTGGCTGCCTTATTCTGTGTTCTCTGTCCATCATGTTGTTAAAGTATTATCCTTCTGTTGTCATTATTTAACCTACTCAAGTTAATCTCGGTCATATATGCAGTCGTTGTTACTGTTAATCCTCCACCTACCATATATATTCTGTACCATGTCTCTTATTAAGCCTTAGTTGACAAGGTCATAAGGATCTATACCGAAACGTCGCTATCACAGTATAATAAAGAAGTTCTTTTTGTCCATCCTCCCGGGTCAAGGGCGTTAACTGAGTATAAAAGTCAAGTTTCCACCCTTGCCGAACTAGGCTGCATTCATGGAGTTATATTTTGGCTGGACTAACGAGTCCATGCGTTGTCCAATCAAAATCGCGTAACGAACCAGACATTCGGTTCGTAAACAACATGGATTTCAACATGCAGATGTCGGTCGACTGTAGAATTTGCAAATCACGTGTACTGCTAAATGGGCGTCGACAGATATTTTGCAAATCGTTTCATGTTTGTAACCAAGGTGCTCAAGTGTTTTGACGCACTTGGCGAGTTAAGTTTTTGTTTGTTTGTTGTTAAACGCCGCACTCAGCAATATTCCAGCTATATATGACAGCGGTCTGTAAATAATCTAGTCTGGACCAGACAGTCCAGTGATTGACATCATGAGCATCGATCCACGCAATAGGGATATGATGACACGCATCAACCAAGTCAGCTCGTAAGACCCGTATTATTACAATATAAATCTTGATTATCGACCACATCGTCTTGACTGGGCGCCACCATTTTGTTTGAAGCAAATACAAGTGATTTGAGAGGCGGAATCTGATTAGTCAATAGTAGGAACAAAGAAGGGACATAACTCGTAATAGCCACTGGTGGCGCTACGATCGAGCAGGGACATTCCAGGCTAGTTCGGCAAGGGTGGAAACTGGACTTTTATAGTTAGTTGACACCCTTGCCTCGGGAAGATGCTTTTTGTTCTACCTTACCCTAGACTACTGTCACTGCAGGGCAGAACAGGTCTCACAGTACCCCATGGATGTCGTAAGAGTCGACTAATGAGGATCAGTTGGTTGCAATGGGTGAGTGAGTATGGTTTTACGTCGCTTTTAGCACTTCACACATTTTACCCATGTCGAGGATCGAACCCGGGTCTTCGGCGTGACGAGCTAACGCTTTAACCACTAGGCTACCCGACCGCCCCTCGTGTGCATTGTGGATTGGTATCATTCACTGGGTCGCCTGGACACGACTCGCGATATATGCAGGAAAAGTACTGACTGCGGCGTTAAACTACATTCATTAACGCACAAATGCCCTTACCCTGGCCTGTTTGCTGTATCATTGCAGTGTTTTATAGGCGTATCGGCATGGTCGATTGGTAATAGGTTAAAATGTCCAAGTGAGTGAGTGAGTTTGATTTAACCCCGCATTGAACATTATCGCAGTAATACTCCCCACAGCTTGATATGTAACAATAGCCCGAAGTGATGCTTGTCTGAGACGTATATCACTTTGGTGAACACCACGAGCGCGGGTATGGTACTGACAAAGCGAGAAACATAATTCGATTTCTACCACGCCTAAGGGACGCAACTCTGCACAGCGGATTCACAACACCTCAGAAGACATGATCAGTCGGAGATTGCCACTTGACGGATTAATGATTTTACGAAACTTGTGTCAAATGTGAGTACATTTTTACAATGGGTAAATTTTAACACCGGCTTCGTAAGATTTGATTGAAAAAGGAGAGTTACAATTCCTCTTTTCATTTCTTATTCGATGGACTAGTACAGTACATCAAAACATCTGTTTTAGGGTCGCTATACTCAATACTGCTTGCTCACAAGGGTACAACGTCAAAACTCGTTCAGGCGCACGGTTCCTTCTAGGCTACAAGAACATAGTTGCTCCTTACAAAGTTGCAAGAATCAAATCGTGCCTCCCTAAGGCTATAAGAAGTATTGTCGTTCACCCAAAAAGCCACATGTAGTCACAGTCCTTCTATAAAACGGATACATTGATAAACATAATTCACATTCCACCTTCATGGATACTTGTATCCGTGGATTAATCAACAAAGTATATCTCCTTGAGTCGAAACAATCACATTATTCAGTTATATTAAAAATTCATACGCGTGTGACCCGCGAAGATTCGTGGCAGAATTGGTCTTCAGCAACCCATGCTTACCATAAAGGGCGACTATGCTTGTCGTAAGAGGCGATTAACTTGATCAGGTGGTCAGGCTCGACTTGGTTGATGCATGTCATCGTATCCCAATTCCGTAGATCGATACTCATGATGTCAGTCACTGGATTGTCTGGTCCAGACTCGATTAATTACAGACCGCGGCGGCGTTAACAACAAACAAACAAACAAACAAACAGCATACGCGTGTAATTCGGTTCTTACCTTCTTTCCATGCAGCAGAAATAGCAGATTACTGCAGCCACAATCGCTGCAATGACGAGCAGGAGGATGACGGCCCCAATGACACCAGCAACGGGCGCTGACATCCCTGAACAGAAACATGAGGATATTACAGCGTTAACTTAATCCGTGAGTGATAGAGAGAGTATGGTTTTACGCCGCTTTTAGCAATATTCCAGCAATATCATAAATGGACTTCACACATTTTACCCATGTCGGGAATCGAACCCGGGTCTTCAGCGTGACGAGCGAACGCTTTAACCACTAGGCTACCCGACCGCCCCTTAACTTAATCGGAAGAGACAGGGCAGCTCATACACACACATGCTGTCAGTGACTGGACCACGCTTGTGAGGCTAAACACTACGTCAACGAGGCTACACAGTTCTTGAGTGAGTGAGTGAGTGAGTTGCGTTTAACGCCGCTTTTAACAGTATTCCAGTTATATCACGGCGTGTCAGCTTAATGTGGGAGGAAAGCCTGAAGTGATGCAGGTCTCAGACGTTTACCACTTCGGTGAAACCCACGAGCACGGGTATGGTGCTGACAAACCTAGAAACATTATCGGGGCGAACCGGGATTCGAACCCACAATCATAGGTTTCTGGCGTGCCCAAGGGACGCAACTCTGCACAGCGATTCGCGGCGCCTTAGACGACTGGGCCACCCGTGCCCCCACACAGTTTTTGAAAGCTACCTTGTTATGTTGCATTGACTATGTTAGTAATTTGATTCAGAGAGATGTCAAAAATACATTTCTCATTCATCCAATGAGTGAGTGAGTGAGTGAGTTGGGTTTAACGCCGCTTTTAACAGTATTCCAGTTATATCGCGGCGTGTCAGCTTAATGTGGGAGGAAAGCCTGAAGTGATGCAGGTCTCAGACGTTTACCACTTCGGTGAAACCCACGAGCGCGGGTATGGTGCTGACAAACCTAGAAACATAATCGGGGCGAATCGGGATTCGAACCCACAATCATAGGTTTCTGGCGTGCCCAAGGGACGCAACTCTGCACAGCGATTCGCGGCGCCTTAGACGACTGGGCCACCCGTGCCCCCACACAGTTTTTGAAAGCTACCTTGTTATGTTGCATTGACTATGTTAGTAATTTGATTCAGAGAGATGTCAAAAATACATTTCTCATTCATCCAATGTAGAGGAGCGGTGGTGTAGCCTAGTGGTTAAAGCGTTCGCTCGTCACGTCGAAGATCCGGGTTTGATTCCCGACATGGGTACAATGTGTGAAGCCCATTTCTGGTGTCCGCCGCCGTGATATTGCTGGAATATTGCTAAAAGCGGCGTTATTGCCAACCAAAGGAGTGAGTGAGTGAGTTGGGTTTAACGCCGCTTTTTACAGTATTCCCGTTATATCACGGTGTGTCAGCTTAATGTGGGAGGAAAGCCTGAAGTGATGCAGGTCTCAGACGTTTTCCACTTCGGTGAAACCCCCGAGCACGGGTATCGTGCTGACAAACCTAGAAACATACTCGGGGTGAACCGGGATTCGAACCCACAATCATAGGTTTCTGGCGTGCCCAGGGAACGCAACTCTGAACAGCGGATCGCGGCGCCTTAGCCTACTTGGCCATCCGTGCCCCCCTCCAACCAATTTAAAGGACGCCATGATAGTGGCAGCAGATCTTCTACAAGGATTTATTAGACCGCCATAGTTGGAAAAGTCTTTTCAAAGCAGGGAAGAACGTACCGAGTTAAAAACTTTATAACGGTAAGCTATTGGGAAAATCTATGCGTGCATAATTAAAAGGAGAATGTGTATGGTAAAGACCTCAAACGTCATGTGACGTCCTTGTTTGGTTTTCATTGCTATACATCGTGGCCTTTCACAAATAATTGTAGAGTTACCTGTATCAGGCTCATGGATGTCGCAGTTGCTTCCTGAATACCCCGCCATGCAGCCTCCGCCTCCACACACGCCGGTATCTGCATCACAGGATCCCCCTCCACAGTACCCGCAGCTCTGTGAACACTCAGCCCCATAGCTGCCGTTTGTACACACTGGGAGACAGAGGAGGAGACAAGGGTAGAATGCCGAGTCGGCCAGGGACAGTACAAGGATCCAGAGTTAGTTTGAGGTTTTTATGTACAAGGGAAGCCTAATCGTGAAAGTTTAGCTGTTGCTGGATGAGCCATAGCCATAGGTTGCTGATGACCAAAGGTAGGGTGCGTGGCGAACTTGTGTTCTCAGGTAGGATGCATGGTGAGCTGATTGTATAAGACGGGTTTCAAGGTTAATTGTTGTTTCAAGCTAGGTTGCAGGTGAGATCAAGTTATAAGGTAGGTATCAAGGTCAGCTGGTGTTATAAGGAAGGTTTCAAGGTCAGAGGGTGTTATAAGGTAGGTCTCAAGGTCAGCTGAAGTTATAAGGTAGGTCTCAAGGTCAGCTGGTGTTATAAGGTAGGTCTCAAGGTCAGAGGGTGTTATAAGGTAGGTGTCAAGATCAGCTGGTGTTATAAGGTAGGTCACAAAGTCGGCTGGTGTTATAAGGTAGGTCTCAAGGTCGGCTGGTGTTATAAAGTAGGTCTCAAGGTCAGCTGGTGTTATAAGGTAGGTCTCAAGGTCGGCTGGTGTTATAAGGTAGGTCTCAAGGTCGGCTGGTGTTATAAGGTAGGTGTCAATGTCAGCTGGTGTTATAAGGTAGGTGTCAAGGTCGGCTGGTGTTATAAGGTAGGTGTCAAGATCAGCTGGTGTTATAAGGTAGGTCTCAAGGTCGGCGTGTAATAAGGTAGGTGTCAAGATCAGCTGGTGTTATATGGTAGGTCTAAAAGTCAGAGGGTGTTATAAGGTAGGTGTCAAGGTCAGCTGGTGTTATAAGGTAGGTCTCAAAGTCGGCTGGTGTTATAAGGTAGTCATAAGCAAGGTCAGCTGGTGTTATAAGGTAGGTCTCAAGGTCAGCTGGTGTTATAAGGTAGGTCTCAAGGTCGGCTGGTGTTATAAGGTAGGTCTCAAGGTCAGCTGGTGTTATAAGATAGTCATAAGCAAGGTAAGCTAGTGTTATAATGTAGGTCTCAGGGTCGGCTGGTGTCATAAGGTAGGTCTCAAGGTCAGCTGGTGTTATAAGGTAGGTCTCAAGGTCGACTTGTGTTATAAGGTAGGTGTAAAGATCAGCTGGTGTTATAAGGTAGGTGTCAAGATCAGCTGGTGTTATAAGGTAGGTCTCAAGGTCGGCTGGTGTTATAAGGTAGGTCTCAAAGTCGGCTGGTGTTATAAGGTAGGTCTCAAAGTCGGCTGGTGTTATAAGGTAGGTCTCAAGGTCAGCTGGTGTTATAAGGTAGGTCTCAAGGTCGGCTTGTGTTATTAGTTAGGTGTCAAGGTCAGCTGGTGTTATAAGGTAGGTGTCAAGGTCAGCTGGTGTTATAAGGTAGGTTTCAAGATCAGCTTGTGTTATAAGGGTGTTGTCAAGGTTATCTGATGTTCTATGTTAGTATTCAATGTGGGTTTATGTCCTAAGTTGGGGTAGAGCTGGTCATATTGCGTAAGGTACAAAGTTAATTGATGTTGTAGGGTAGGGTGCAAGGTTAACCAATGTTCTGGGGCTCCCGGGTTCTTTGGTAGGGTACATTGTTATTTGATGGTTGAAAGGAAATATCTCCTTCAATGTTATGTACTCACAAAAACATGTTCTTCATACCTATGTTCTATTAGACTTTCCGCGAGTTGTAGCTCGGCTGGGTCCTGGATTTCAGTGGGGCAATAACTTGGTACCACCTGCAAATAACTTTTTCCAACCTTCGTTCGGGTGGTAACGTTATATCAGTGAGAACACATACATCCTCACAGTTTGCAAAGTTATATTTGCACTTGTGTTTCCTAATTCGTATAACAAGAAAAAACCTATGATTCCTCCTACTGACGTAAAAAGATATGTATGCCTCCATGTGAACTCGGGGCTACTCACCATACACCTGGACCTCACAGAGACTGGGGATCGACGTGAAGGTATTCCTAACAAAGACGAAGCGTCCCTGATTTCTGCACGAGACGTGCAAGCTGGATGCCTCTGTGTTGCTTGAAAGGTTGCACAGGTATTCATCATCAGGAGGCTCGGTCATTTCTGGTCTGGGAGACACGCACACCTCTGTTTTGTTCCAGTATGTGTCGCTGGAGGCTGCAATTACACATACTGTTTCAACGTGTTTGTTCAAAGAAAACATCAGTTTGTCAACCTTAATAACACAATGACTTTGTCTTGCAGATATGTGCTTCTTGTCCATGTTATTTTGTTGCGAAATGAAACAATTCATAATGTTTCATAAAATATCGCACGTAAAACCATTGTATGTCTGTTCGTGTACGTGAAATTGCCACATTTGTGTGTATGTGTTTCTTATTCATGTGATTAGATATGGCAAATAAAACAAATTGACATGTACATAAATGCAGTTCAGTGATTTCTTTTAAAAGCGCAGGTATTTAAAAAAGGACCTGATGGATTATATCTGACTGTTTAATTTGAGTTTTCATTAGAAATAAATACTCCCAAAATAGTTATATATTCTAAGATGTGTTTCCCTATTTGCAGAACATGTAATGAACCATAAATGTGTCAAAACATTGTGCATGATGTATACACGTCACAAATACATGTCCCACAGCTACAATCATGACAATATACTGCGCTCGATCTGTACGTTTCCCCTAATACATATTGTTTCAAATAATGCTTCAAATACACGTTCCAACTCACGCTGTGATCCTCGGTGCAGTATAATAGCATGCACCTTCATGGTCGTGTCAAGGTCAATCCGCAGCCAGGTGTATGGGAACAACGAGATGCAGCTGATGTTGCTGGTGTTGCCGTCCACAGCCGAATGTCCGCCGTTAGTAATACGACCTGAACGCACTGTTGTTGTCGACTTGTTTAATGCAATATTCACTGAAAGTACAAGCCAGGTGTTATAACGACAATGAAGAGTTCATTGAAGTATCGCCAATCCGGAAGTACCTGCGTTGTGGTAGGTATATGGTGTGAAGCTCTACTGTACTCACCCTAATAAATGAACCTGGTTGGGATTCAGGCGTAGAAGAGGTCACCAGATTCTATGTCTGCCGTAAAAGCTTACCAGTTAGCATCCGGTTGTCGCGTTCCAGAGTATTGAACTTATATATAGCGGAAGCAGTGAACACTTGCATGCGTGCTTGCGTGCGTGCGTCTGTGTCTGTGGGTGTGCCTGCTTGTACTAGTTATACCTAATGCCGGTTTTATAGTGCCAGCATACTGAGATACCACGCCGCAGTTAAACATGAATATCCCACTCTGACACAGTTTAATGACTCCAAGTCGACCAGTCCTTGTTTTATCCATTAACGCTGAGCACCATGGAGGGTAAGAACAAGAAAAAATGTTTACGCCTTTTGGTATGACGCGGCCGGTGATCAAATCTCCGACTTTCCGGTTAGACGCTGTGGCAACTAGATCACGGTGTCCGTCAAACCATACATGACGTCACCATGGATAATTCAATCATGACATTTTAGAATCATGCATTCTGATTGGTCCATCAGCGTTATCGCATCCACGATAGACACCGATGGCCGCATCACCGCGAAAGAAAATATGATAAGTTGAAAGCATTTCTTGAACAAACTTGACCGGTAGTCATTTTCAAATAATGATCTCACTTAAAAAATCATCAACATCTATGGCAAACAATTTAGACAGAAAACCATACGGAAGAAAACATTGAATGAGTGTATTATAACAACAACACAGCTTTACGTTGGCGCTACTCTATTGTATAGTGTGACGTCATGTCTATCGCGTCACCATGCTTTCAAATTCTTATTGTCTGACGGATCAATAACTTCCTGTAACACGTTCGGTTTCGAATTTGGTTTACAGGTAACGATTTGAAACATATGAATTGAAAACACAGTAAGTCATCTCCTCAGTAAATGATGTCATATCCTTCCATGACGACTGGTGATTAGTATTCCGGGTGGCGGGTGCTGCCCGTTGAGCAGGACATACTAACCCCTTTCGCAAACACCTGGGGTCATCACTGATTTTCAGTAATCTATTCATATCATTTGCACCTCTAGTTTCCCTTTTACGCCCATTGGAATCTGTTTCGTCGGATATTGTCTGGTTATTGTCTGGCGTTGAGGTTTTTATATATATATTACAGTAAACTACGGTTATAACGAACACGCTTATAACGAACTGACGGATATAACGAACTAACTTTTTAGTCCCGACTATTTGCTGTAGTTATGCTGTATATATGCTTATAACGAACTACGGTTATAACGAACTAAAAATAGAAGTCCCTTAGAGTTCGTTATAACCGTAGTTTACTGTATATGCTTTGCGCAAATACCTAGTGTCATCAGTCTTTTTTTCACGCTATTTTCCCCTTTACCTCCAGTAGAATCTGTTTTTGGCAGATAACAGAGACTGGTTATTCTCTTGTGTTGACTTTTTATATGATACACGAGCAGGTTGGGAATGGGTATTGAAATATACGTGGACAAACCACGTGACCCGGAATCTCCACAAGGCTTGTCACAAACATTTTATTTTTTTTATGCAAATTGTGCGAGTAGCGGTTCGGGTGTTACCGATAGGACAGGGCGTGCTGACCCTTTTAGCGAACACCTGGTGTTATTAGTGATTTCCGTGATCTATTCATCTAATTGTCGACCGCCTCCGTGGTCTAATGGTAGAGCGTCCGCCCGGAGAGCGGAAGGTCCGGGGTTCGATCACCAGCCGCGTCATACCAAAAGACGTTAAAATATGGTACTTGTTGATACCCTGTCTGGCGCTCGGCATTAAGGGGCTAAAACAAGGACTGGTCGGCTCGGAGTCAGTATACTGTGTCTGAGTGGGGTATTCATGTTAAACTGCGGCATGGTATCTCAGTGAGCTAGCACTATAGATCGGAATCAGTCCGGACTAGTACAAGCAGCCACACACACATACATTCGCGTGCATGCCCGTCGCTATATAAGTGCAATAATCTTGGACGCGACGTTAAACCCCATTTCACCTCACCTCACCTTTTACACCGAATGGAATCTATTTCAGCTGATAATCAACACTGGTTATTCACTGGCGTTGATTTTTATTATATAATATGAATAATATATTTACAAGCATAACACATACTTCATACAAATGCTGGGCAGATCCATTATACATGAATACGTAGGTGATTTAGGTAACACATGAAATGTCGTAAAATAAGAATAATAAAATAAATATAAGCATGTGAACTTGTGTTTGATGAAGAGAACTTTTCTAAAACGACATTCCTTACTAAACCAATATGCAATGTAGCACACTGGCAGTATGAAACGACATACATGTTGGCTCTAAGTGTACATGTTTCTATGCCTCTTCACCAAGGAAGTAGAATGTGTGTTCATCGATACAAAGCATGCAGTAGAAGGTGTGAAGCCATTGAGCCCGCACAAAGCGTCACCGTGCAGACCCTCGAATGTCATAATGGCCGCGGTGGCTTCATACTTACAGTGGATCTTATCACACAAACGGTTTGAAGATTTAAGTGTAAAGTTATAATTACAAATACGCAATTTCGTCGCAAAATAAGTACGTCTGATATTAAGATCTGTCAAATACCCCTCGTTAATGCTTAACTGCGAATATCCTGATCCAACACTGCGTATATACTCTGATATTAAACACGCAATGATTCAAATGCAAGTAGTACATGTATTGAACTAGCTTTTAGGCGATGAGCAGTGTCTAATTAGAAGAAAGAAAATACTAAGAACATACCCAGTACAGAATTAATTACTGCAAGGTGAAGCAGCATCAGCACCAATCTCAACATTGTCGACGACAGCTTCACCACGGTTGACTCAACATCTACCTTACAATAAGAACCAACAAGGAAGTGCAACGTGTTGACCCCTTGTACCACTCTGACACGTGACACACAACAAATATGTCACGCAACTGCCAAACATTAAATACAAATCCTTTTGTTGACACTTTAGAATTATTCATATTGGTATGTTATTCGTAATATGGTGTGTTGCCAATAACATAATGTTCTTTATACGGTGGCGTTTGGTTGGACAAAAAAATGTCATAATGTTAATGATCAATACGTTCATATTTACAATGCTGTACAGAAGGGTTTTACTCATCGACAGCCGTATGACATTATATCAACATAAGTAAACTATAGACCAGACAATGATGTAGTGTTGACGTGGTGAGACCACACCAGGCGAGGTAACGTTCATATCCAGGTCGAGTATAAAGTAATAAGGTTGTCCACATTTCTTACGTGATGTTTACAACGGCTCTGGTTGACGCTTTTCGTGCTAGCTTTCCACTGGTGGTAGTGCGTGAGTGAGTTAGTCCGGTTTTGTTTATTGTTTAACGCCGCATTCAGCAATATTCCAGCTATATGACATCAGTCTGTAGATAATCGAGTCTGGACCGGACAATCCAATGATTGATATCACGAGCATCGATCCACGTACTAGAGATCAATGACATGCATCAACCAAGTCAGCGAGCCTGACTACCCAATCCCCGCCTCTTACGACAAGCATGGTCGCCTTTAACGGCAAGTATGGGTTACTGAAGACCTATTCTACCCTGGATCTGCATGTACTTGGAGTTAGTTAGATCTCGGCGTGTCAGCTTAATGAGGAAGGAAAGCCCGAAGCAATGCGATGCATACTTCCTTGATGACACCCACATTCCTGTAACCAGTTATGCAGAACTACATCTGTAGCGCGTTCCTTTATCAACTGTTGGAGCTCAATGCTGTTACACAGATTTTTAAGTCATTGTATTGAACTGTCGGGTACCAACGTTCACGGAAAGGTGCCGACAAACCTAAGCATATAATCAGGGACAGTCTGGGGTTCGAACCTACATTCATAGGTATCTCGTGCATTATATGACTCGGGCCACCCGAGTGAATGTTGTTTATCACCGCAGTCAGAAATAGACATTCAATACACGTATGCTTGTAAATCATATAAAGTCTGGACTAAATAGTGCCACAGTGGTTCGTGTTTACCCATGTCACGGTGGTACGTGTTTACCCATGTCACGGTGGTTCGTGTTTACCCATGTCACGGTGGTTCGTGTTTACCCATGTCACGGTGGTTCGTGTTTACCCATGTCACAGTGGTTCGTGTTTACCCATGTCACGGTGGTACGTGTTTACCCATGTCACGGTGGTTCGTGTTTACCCATGTCACAGTGGTTCGTGTTTACCCATGTCACAGTGGTTCGTGTTTACCCATGTCACAGTGGTTCGTGTTTACCCATGTCACGGTGGTTCGTGTTTACCCATGTCACGGTTGTTCGCGTTTACCCATGTCACGGTGGTTCGTGTTTACCCATGTCACGGTGGTTCGTGTTTACCCATGTCACGGTGGTTCGTGTTAACCCATGTCACGGTGGTTCGTGTTTATCCATGTCACAGTGGTTCGTGTTTACCCATGTCACGGTGGTTCGTGTTTACCCATGTCACGGTGGCTCGTGTTTACCCATGTCACGGTGCTGCCTCCGTGGTCTTGTGGTAGAGCGTCCGCCCGGAGAGCGGAAGGTCCGGGGTTCGATCCCCGGCCGCGTCATACCAAAAGACGTTTAAAAGATGGTACTTGTTGTTACCCTGTCTAGCGCTCGACATTAAGGGGCTAAAACAAGGACTGGTCGGCTCGGAGTCAGTATACTGTGTCTGAGTGGGGTATTCATGTTAAACTGCGACATGGTATCTCAGTGAGCTAGCACTATAAGTCGGCATCAGTCCGGACTAGTACAAGCAGCCACACTCACACACACACACACGTGCATGCACGTCGCTATATAAGTGCAATAATCTTCGACGCGACGTTAAACCCAATTTCACCTCACCTCACCTCACCTCACCCATGTCACGGTGGTTCGTGTTTACCCATGTCACGGTGGTTCGTGTTTACCCATGTCACGGTGGTTCGTGTTTACCCATGTCACGGTGGTTCGTGTTTACCCATGTCACAGTGGTTCGTGTTTACCCATGTCACAGTGGTTCGTGTTTACCCATGTCACAGTGGTTCGTGTTTACCCACGTCACGGTGGTTCGTGTTTACCCATGTCACGGTGGTTCGTGTTTACCCATGTCACAGTGGTTCGTGTTTACCCATGTCACAGTGGTTCGTGTTTACCCATGTCACGGTGGTTCGTGTTTACCCATGTCACGGTGGTTCGTGTTTACCCATGTCACGGTGGTTCGTGTTTACCCATGTCACGGTGGCTCGTGTTTACCCATGTCACGGTCTAGTGCCTCTCTGTTCCCCGGCTTTATTTCCGACAGTGTCCCAACTATTTCATTCTCTGGTGATCTGATGACACTCTCAAACCATGTATAGACTGGATGTGCGTTATCTATTATATGTTCGCTACCGTATTCTTGTTTTGAAAATGTTTTTGTAATTATGATTTGCAAACATAAGGGGAATTTATATCTACATTCAGATATTTGTCATGTATTTATGGTCATTTTTGCCTCATCAATAATTGTAATATCTTGTGCCAATCCTCGACGCCGTACCGATCCCCCAATAACAGAAATCAGATGGTCCAAGCACTGAGATAGGAATGGAAGGCAATTTCTGATGACGTCATTAGACGCCAAACGTTCTCTGTCCGACGTCGGCGGCCATACACATTATTGACGCACTGCCATTAATGATCGTGTTAACTTATGTTTGGAATCTGTCAGAGTTTATATACTGAACAGCATTGAAAACGCACCCGCAATAAATCTTAAAATATTCCAAAAACAACTTGAGCAATGGCCGATTTTGATCAGAACAGACATAGACGGATTATTAAGAAAGACGACAAAGGAAACAGGAATACCACACAGTAATTACAATTACGTCATCAGTGTAAGGAAGACACATAGGGTTAAAATGAAAAGTCAATATCTGGTATGTCCGCCATTGACAGCAACACAGGCCATGCAACGTCTTCTCATTGATCGAATAAGTCTGCGAATAGTGTTCTGGGGCATTCCACTCTTGACGTAGTGTATCTTCAAGTTCTCTCAGGTTCTGTACTTGCGGACGACGTGAGAGGCGTTGACCCAGGTAATCCCATAGATGTTCATAGATGATCTTGCATTATCTTGCTGGAAGGTGTGCATATCCTGGTACTGATGAAAGAATGGGATGACGTGATTTGCCAATATGTTATTCCTGTAGTAAAGGGCATTAACACTTCCACGACAAACATGGAGCTCTGTTCGATGGTTATGACTGATGCCGCCCCACACCATGACACTCCCTCCCCCCATCGATCTGTCTGTACAACGCAGTCATTGTGGTAACGTTCTCCACGTCGACGCCACACTCGCAGTCGACCGTCAGCATTCCGTAAATGAAAACGGAACTCATCAGAGAACAGCACACCATGCCACTGCCGCAATCTCCAATGACGATGCCTTTTGGCCCAACGCAGACGTTCATTTCGATGTCGATCAGTGAGTATGGGTCCAACATATGGACGTCGAGCACGTAGCCCTGCTGAGCGGAGACGTCGACATACAGGGACAGCACTGATCAATTGCGTCGGCCTTGTACGGTTGCTGCAGTCCTGGTAGCCGGAAGTGTACGATCACGAAGATGCCGACGAACAATATGGCGATCCTTACGTGGTGTAGTTACACGACGTTGACCCGGACGTGGTCGATCTCTGGTGGTTCTTGTCTGCTGGTATCTGCTCAGTAGCCTCAGGACTGTTGAATGAGGGCATTGAAACCGTTGTGCATCGACTCTACTTGACGTACCAACTTGAAGCATGTCCAAGGCATTGAAACCGTTGTGCATCGACTCTACTTGACGTACCAACTTGAAGCATGTCCAAGGCATTGAAACCGTTGTGCAACGACTCTACTTGACGTACCAACTTGAAGCATGCCCAAGGCATTGAAACCGTTGTGCATCGACTCTACTTGACGTACCAACTTGAAGCATGTCCAAGGCATTGAAACCGTTGTGCATCGACTCTACTTGACGTACCAACTTGAAGCATGCCCAAGGCATTGAAACCGTTGTGCATCGACTCTACTTGACGTACCAACTTGAAGCATGCCCAAGGCACGTTCATGTTCCTCAGCTGTTAATCTTGGCATTTCTTGTGTCAGTACCCTTTACGTCTGCAGCAACAAGTGATGTGGCTTTTAAAAGTCTGTCTTTAATAGCCCTATTCGTCATGCTTCCCGTGAAACAAAACACGTTTTCCATGATGTGCACGCAATTTGTTGCGTTTTGGCGATATCGCTCACAAAAACTTTAGGAATGTGTTTTGACGAGCTGTTCTTCTTCATGCTTCGTCCAGAACGTCGTGTATTACTCATTCACTTATATATTTTCATATGACTTAAGCCCGGATAAAAATACATCCATTTTCATGGTGGTGCGTTTTCAATGCTGTTCAGTATATCTTGCCAATTGGATGTACATTCGTAATACAATATTACTGTTTTAAAATTATTTTGAAAAAATTATCGGTATATTTTCTTATGTACGCCAGTTTATATAGGACATCTACAACTTTCTCCATATGCCATGACATTGGGCGTATTAATTTTTACAAAGATACATTTTGCATGCAAATAGATTTACCTTTTCTACAACGTGAACTCTGGTTAGTCACACCTCAGCTCAGTATGGTATTATTGGACTTATTTTTGCAAAATAAAATATCTTGAAAAATAATTAATGTCAAATATCTTGAAAAATAATTAATGTCACTAAGGATGTTTATATGCTTTAATATATTTAATACTTATCAACGTCTTTTGTGATTTCACTGATGCTTGCTTGGGGTGCAGTGAAAGATGATCAGTAAAGTAAACACCTAATGTAAATATTTATGAATTAGAACAGCTTCTAAATATTCCCATTTATTTGATTGTTTGTGGACTGGCATGATAACGCCGACTGACCATGCTTAAGGAATAAATATATTTTTCTTTATCAAATTGAATATCAGTTTGAGATACAGAAGTAACAAATCTTAAGATCAGTTAAAGAATTCAGGAATACTATTATCCACCCCTGGTGTTTTGATGCATGTAGCAATGTTTTGCCAAAAAGAATAAAATTGAAATTCCTGTGACCTTTGAGCAAACTCAAATTATGAAAACAACAACATCCAACTACATCAACTCGTCACAGGTCCGAAGAACATTATTTGTGAACCGTTAGCTCCACGAGTGCCGTGGACGATCCTTATATTTTTTAGAGGCACCTTAGATTTGCACGAGGTGCACGTGTGTTGAGCCCTAAAAGCTACAGTGGGCTTAAGTGTACAGTGGGAGGAGCTCATGTGATCACGTGACACTGTCTTCGGCATGACCAGTTGACCTTGAAAGAAGACATCTCAGGGTGTCATCGCGTGATACGATGTCTCGTGCACAATCTGCACATGAGGTCTGTAAATCACGTGCTCAATATAAACAGCTGGCATGCACGTGCAATGTACTGTTACAGGAGACAGCGACACTCTTCCCTCCTGCCAAATTGTGGACCTTGCCATTCATTCATGTTCACTGGGGTCAAAACGCAGGGGGCGGTGAGGTAGCCCAGTGGTTAATGCATTCGCTCGTCACGCTGAAGACCCGGGTTCTAACCAACTCACTCACTCAAGAAGCCCTGGTGCTCCTTGTAAGGTGTTTGGAGTTGGTGGAAACCTTATATACATGGGCAATGGATTTGATCAATTATATTTGATTCCAATTTCTTCATGTCAATTCTCCAGATAATAAAAGCACGCCAATTGCTTTGTATCATATCAGTAGGGTATATTTACAGTGAATTAATGCCCTAAAGCCTTGACCTTGTGTGTGTGTGTGTGTGTGTGTCTGTCTATTTCTGTCTGTCTATCTGACTGTCTACCTGAATATTTGTTTGTGTTTGTCTGCCTGTGTTTGTATGTCTGTCTGTATTTCAGTCTGAGTCAATTTCATAAATGAACTTACATAAACCAAATATGTTTCGAATCACAATATCATTAACCGTATGAAATATTTACAGTGAATTAATGTTCAGAGGTCTTTCCTGTTCTCGCGTCAATACAAGAAGAAGAAGAAGAAGAAGAAATGTTTATTTAAGTGTCACATATTGTACATAAAACACATTTTAAACAAAAGCAAGTTGCCATTAAAAGTACAATATCCAGCCTCTAGGGCTTATGAGACACTCTAAAAGCATTTAAAACATATAACATTATTAAATATAAAACACAAAATAAAAATATTATATACAATGTTAAGACTAGAAGAGATGCACTCTCCTTCTATACATGCTGTATAATGTGCTTGCTAAAAGCGTCTGTAAAATCACTTCTTGCATCAAATAAGATAATTGCTGAATGCTATTAAAATAATAAAAGTCTTGATTTAATTCAGCTGCCTTGTGTAGTAGTTGATATCCTAGGTCACTGTATACAAAACAATATATTAAAAAGTGTGATTCATCCTCAATAACATAATTATTTTTTTCTGCACAAAATTTACATATTCTATCATTTAAAGGAATAGGTGGCTTGGAATAGCGGCCTGTTTCGACTAATAGAGGGAGGTTACCACACCTAAACTTGGATAAAACACTTCGATAGTCCCTTCGCTTCACACATTTCACATAGTGGCTCACATTCACATCAAATATGAAAAGACTGAAAGTCCTTAGCTTGTTCCCATTTGGTTTGTTCTCATCATCCCACACTTGTTTACACCATGATTCACTATCTTTCTCTTTCAAGATATCCTTCAGTAAGTTCACTTTTTCTTGTTATTGTCACTGTCACTGATAATACATCCGTTCAATGACTCTGTTGACGTTACATCAAATCATGAACACTGGATGACGTCATTTTCAGTTATTTGCGACAATGCGATATGACGTCACGTTTCTATGGGTCTCTTTGCAAACAGTGAAACAATGGAATATGGCAACGAACTAGCCAAGGAACATTAAGAAAAAAAATAATGCTCAGTGAGAATTACTGAAAACATATTCACCTTTGTTCTTGCTCCTATGGGTAATATTGGCATACATGTATATTTGAAATATAAAGAGTATAACAAAGCGAATTTATGTAAGGGTAACAAAGTCATTTTATATTGTATATCATCGTCCGATATCAGTTGATATAACATGACGTCATGTCTCATGAAAATGAAGACATATATATGGACTATGCCGTCGTGAATATGATATCTAAATATGAAACTAAAATATGAACTGTCACATGCTTAGTTCACAGATTCATTATTATGAAGGCTTTAACCACATGACTCACTTGATTCCACATGAACACTTTACACTGAATCAATTCATTGAATCAGTAAAAATATGTTATATTGGCTACGCATTGGTTTGTTAATGATATCATGAACTACATCTAAGCATTTTATGACAGAATTGTGCATTCCAAATTATGTGTAAACCAAATAATAATAAAGACAAAATTAAAAAAATAAGAAAAGAGAGCCAACAGAATAGCTCAGAAGGCGAATAGCTCATATTTCAACTGAGAGTTGTCTCCCTTCGACCTAAAATTTGACTCTCGGGAACAACACTGTTTTATATATCATATGGTCACTTAACAATAATTAAGTCTTATTACTGTGTTGATATGTCACATGACAAATTAAAGAAAACTAAACCTAATTGTGACTTAAAAAACTAAATCTAAAAAAAGGATAATATTTTTTTTTGCGAACTGTCTTAAAGTCACAGATGCTCACACTCCGCCACACTAGTACAAATAACGACAGGGTATATACGTGTTCAATGGTACTTTAAGTACAGCAAGAGATACATAAACTGCAACAAGTTAAATAAACATTCAATGGAACTAGTTAAGGGGCAATAAACTAATTTGGTAATCCGAGCTAGTGATGTCTCTCATACACCACATTGTGTGTCTGCTATCTTAACATGTGTGTTATAGACCGACCTGGCAGCTATCTGTGACCCTAATACATATTATACACAGTGCCTCAGTTTCACACGGGGAATTCAGGACAACGTCGAGATCTGGGCCGACAAATGGGCAGCAGACCGAGTAGCATAGTCACCCTTAAAGGACCTCAACTATGGTTCTTGTATTTCTTTCGACATGGTCCCCTATTCCCTCTCCTCTGATTCGTTGTTTCTATTCCCTCTTCCTCCTCTATTTTTTTCTTTCTTCTTCTCCCAATCCTACCATTCCCTTTCCTCAACCCTTCTTCTTTGTCTCTTAGTTTCTATTTCCTCATCGCCATCCTCATCTCCTACTCCCAATCTCCTGCCATTCCTCATCCCATGCCATCTTTCCCTCGTTTTTATTCCTCTTCTAAATTTTCTTTTCCCCTATTTCCCCTCCTCCTTCTCCTCCTCCTTCTCAATCTCCCTTTTCCCCATCTTCCTCCTTCTAGTCTTCGCCGTCCTTCGTCCCCGCTGTGACATACGGAGGCAGTGATTCATCACTGGATCCTGCCGAGTCAGCCCACACATCCTCATCAGTCGGCTGCTGATACTGAAATGATGGAACTGGGTGTCCAGGCATGGAGTCATCGTCGATGATAACCCTTGCATAGTCTGTATCCAGTGACTCAACTGAAAGGGATGCGTGGGGGTTTTCTTTGGTCTTTTTCTCGTTTTTCAGACCAGGATTGGAAACAAAGTTAGGGACCAAAGACTGGTAACGAGAAACCCTATCGTCCTCGGGGCCACGGCTGCCTTGTCCACTGACAACAGTGTTTTTTCCGGCGGATGGTGACGTTTCCTGTTTAAGTACAAATGGAAAATACAAACACTATCCACCGACCAATGGTTATCTGTATTCATAGTTCAAAATCTTATATTTCCAATGAAAACCCTCTATTTTAATGGCAAAACTGTATTACCACAGTCATAAAATGTTCACAACAGCGCACAAAAAGACAACTGAAGTCTCCTGTCCTGCCAACGGTGCTACCTCCTTAATGAGATTGCTTTGGGTAATTCGATCTTACATATGATCTACTGGAATGAACTTTGGAGAAAGTCGTATTTTGCATACAATCGTTGGGACTGAGCATAAATCCTCCAGTGTATGAAATAATATTTACCTGTACACCGCTGATCACGTAAAAATGCGGCAGGGAAATTTCGTCATACTCATTCCACGTGTGATGTGCTTTCCTGCAATAGAATATATACATAGTATACGCAGGAAGTCGACTTACGACCTTATACACACCCCTGATCTGTGTTCCTGTAATACAACATATATAGTATATACAGGAAGTTTACATACGACCTTATACACACACCTGGTATGTGTTCCTGTAATACAACATATATAGTATATACAGGAAGTTTACATACGACCTTCTACACACACCTGGTATGTGTTCCTGTAATACAACATATATAGTATATGTAGGAAGTTTACATACGACCTTATACACACCCCTGATCTGTGTTCCTGCTTCAGAATATATATAGTATATAGAGGAAGTCTTAATACGACCTTATACTAACCCCTGGTATGTGTTCCTGCTTCAGAATATATATATATAGTATATGCAGGAAGTCTTTATACGACCTGATACCCACCCCTGATCTATGTTCCTGCTTCAGAATATATATAGTATATACAGGAAGTCTAGATACGACCTTATACACACCCCTGGTATGTGTTCCTGCTTCAGAATATATATAGTATATACAGGAAGTCTTTATACGGCCTTCTACACACCCCTGGTATGTTTTCCTACTTCAGGATATATATAGTTTATACAGGAAGTCTTTATACGACCTTCTACACACCCCTGGTATGTTTTCCTGCTTCAGGATATATATAGTTTATACAGGAAGTCTTTATACGACCTTCTACACACCCCTGGTATGTTTTCCTACTTCAGGATATATATAGTATATACAGAAAGTCTTTATACGACCTTATACACCCCTTGTATGTGTTCCTGCTTCAGAATATATATAGTATATACAGAAAGTCTTTATACGACCTTCTACACACCCCTGGTATGTTTTCCTACTTCAGGATATATATAGTATATACAGAAAGTCTTTATACGACCTTATACACCCCTTGTATGTGTTCCTGCTTCAGGATATATATAGTATATACAGAAAGTCTTTATACGACCTTATACACCCCTTGTATGTGTTCCTGCTTCAGAATATATATAGTATATACAGAAAGTCTTTATACGACCTTCTACACACCCCTGGTATGTTTTCCTACTTCAGGATATATATAGTATATACAGAAAGTCTTTATACGACCTTATACACCCCTTGTATGTGTTCCTGCTTCAGAATATATATAGTATATACAGAAAGTCTTTATACGACCTTCTACACACCCCTGGTATGTTTTCCTACTTCAGGATATATATAGTATATACAGAAAGTCTTTATACGACCTTATACACACCCCTGGTATGTTTTCCTACTTCAGGATATATATAGTATATACAGAAAGTCTTTATACGACCTTATACACACCCCTGGTATGTTTTCCTACTTCAGGATATATATAGTATATACAGAAAGTCTTTATACGACCTTATACACACCCCTGGTATGTGTTCCTGCTTCAGAATATATATAGTATATACAGAAAGTCTTTATACGACCTTATACACACCCCTGGTATGTTTTCCTACTTCAGGATATATATAGTATATACAGAAAGTCTTTATACGACCTTATACACACCCCTGGTATGTTTTCCTGGAAAAGAACATACTCAATTTATACAGGAAGTTTATATACGACCTTATAGGTACATGTTAAGTATGGTAAAAAAACATGGCAGACAGATGGGAGAAGATGTCGGGAGGGAAGACAGACGGATGGGTGCAGGTGTTGGGAGGGAAGACAGACAGATGGGTGCAGGTGTTGGGAGGCAAGACAGACAGATGGGTGCAGGGGTTGGAGGGAAGACAGTCAGATGGGTGCAGGTGTTGGAGGGAAGACAGACAGATGGGTGCAGGTGTTGGAGGGAAGACAGACAGATGGGTGCAGGTGTTGGGAGGCAAGACAGACAGATGGGAGCAGGTGTTGGAGGGAAGACAGACAGATGGGTGCAGGTGTTGGAGGGAAGACAGACAGATGGGAGCAGGTGTTGGAGGGAAGACAGACAGATGGGTGCAGGTGTTGGAGGGAAGACAGAGAGATGGGTGCAGGTGTTGGGAGGGAAGACAGACAGATGGGTGCAGGTGTTGGAGGGAAGACAGACAGATGGGTGCAGGTGTTGGGAGGCAAGACAGACAGATGGGAGCAGGTGTTGGAGGGAAGACAGACAGATGGGTGCAGGTGTTGGAGGGAAGACAGAGAGATGGGTGCAGGTGTTGGGAGGGAAGACAGACAGATGGGTGCAGGTGTTGGGAGGCAAGACAGACATATGGGAGCAGGTGTTGGAGGGAAGACAGTCAGATGGGTGCAGGTGTTGGGAGGCAGGACAGACAGATGGGTGCAGGTGTTGGAGGGAAGACAGTCAGATGGGTGCAGGTGTTGGGAGGCAAGACAGACAAATGGGAGCAGGTGTTGGCGGGAAGACAGACAGATGGGTGCAGGTGTTGGGAGGGAAGACAGACGGATGGGTGCAGGTGTTGGGAGGCAAGACAGTCAGAATGGTGCAGGGGTTGGAGGGAAGACAGTCAGATAGGTGCAGGTGTTGGGAGGCAAGACAGACAGATGGGTGCAGGTGTTGGAGGGAAGACAGTCAGATGGGTGCAGGTGTTGGAGGGAAGACAGTCAGATGGGTGCAGGTGTTGGGAGGGAAGACAGACGGATGGGTGCAGGTGTTGGGAGGCAAGACAGACAGATGGGAGTAGGGGTTGGAGGGAAGACAGACAGATGGGAGCAGTTGTTGGGAGAGAAGACAGACAGATGGGTGCAGGGGTTGGAGGGAAGACAGACAGATGGAAGCAGTTGTTGGGAGAGAAGACAGACAGATGGGTGCAGGGGTTGGAGGTAAGACAGTCAGATGGGTGCAGGTGTTGGAGGGAAGACAGACAGATGGGAGCGGTTCTTGGGAGAGAAGACAGACAGATGGGTGCAGGGGTTGGAGGGAAGACAGTCAGATGGGTGCAGGGGTTGGAGGGAAGACAGACAGATGGGTGCAGGTGTTGGAGGTAAGACAGACAGATGGGAGCGGTTCTTGGGAGAGAAGACAGACAGATGGGTGCAGGGGTTGGAGGGAAGACAGTCAGATGGGTGCAGGGGTTGGAGGGAAGACAGACAGATGGGTGCAGGGGTTGGAGGGAAGACAGACAGATGGGTGCAGGGGTTGGAGGGAAGAGAGTCAGATGTGTGCAGGGGTTGGAGGGAAGACAGACAGATGGGAGCAGGTGTTGGGAGAGAAGACAGACAGATGGGTGCAGGGGTTGGAGGGAAGACAGACAGATGGGTGCAGATGTTGGAGGGAAGACAGTCAGATGGGAGCAGGTGTTGGGAGGGAAGACAGACAGATGGGTGCAGGTGTTGGAGGGAAGACCGACAGATGGGTGCAGGTGTTGGAGGGAAGAAAGACAGATGGGTGCAGGTGTTGGAGGTAAGACAGACAGATGGGTGCAGGTGTTGGAGGGAAGACAGACAGATGGGTGCAGGGGTTGGAGGGAAGACAGACAGATGGGTGCAGGGGTTGGAGGGAAGAGAGTCAGATGTGTGCAGGGGTTGGAGGGAAGACAGACAGATGGGAGCAGGTGTTGGGAGAGAAGACAGACAGATGGGTGCAGGGGTTGGAGGGAAGACAGACAGATGGGTGCAGATGTTGGGAGGGAAGACAGACAGATGGGTGCAGGTGTTGGGAGAGAAGACAGACAGATGGGTGCAGGGGTTGGAGGGAAGACAGACAGATGGGTGCAGGTGTTGGGAGGGAAGACCGACAGATGGGTGCAGGTGTTGGAGGGAAGACCGACAGATGGGTGCAGGGGTTGGAGGGAAGAAAGACAGATGGGTGCAGGTGTTGGAGGGAAGACAGACAGATGGGTGCAGGTGTTGGAGGGAAGACAGACAGATGGGTGCAGGGGTTGGAGGGAAGACAGACAGATGGGTGCAGGTGTTGGAGGGAAGACAGACAGATGGGTGCAGGGGTTGGAGGGAAGACAGACAGATGGGTGCAGGGGTTGGAGGGAATACAGTCAGATGGGTGCAGGTGTTGGAGGGAAGACAGACAGATGGGTGCAGGTGTTGGGAGGGAAGAGAGACAGATGGGTGCAGGGGTTGGAGGGAAGACAGACAGATGGGTGCAGGTGTTGGAGGTAAGACAGACAGATGGGAGCAGTTCTTGGGAGAGAAGACAGACAGATGGGAGCAGTTGTTGGGAGAGAAGCCAGACAGATGGGTGCAGGGGTTGGAGGGAAGACAGTCAGATGGGTGCAGGGGTTGGAGGGAAGACAGACAGATGGGTGCAGGTGTTGGAGGTAAGACAGACAGATGGGAGCAGTTCTTGGGAGAGAAGACAGACAGATGGGAGCAGTTGTTGGGAGAGAAGCCAGACAGATGGGTGCAGGGGTTGGAGGGAAGACAGTCAGATGGGTGCAGGGGTTGGAGGGAAGACAGACAGATGGGTGCAGGTGTTGGAGGTAAGACAGACAGATGGGTGCAGGTGTTGGAGGTAAGACAGACAGATGGGTGCAGGTGTTGGAGGGAAGACAGACAGATGGGTGCAGGTGTTTGAGGGAAGACAGACGGATGTGTTCAGGTGTTGGGAGGGAACCCTTACTTGATGCACTGTGCTAAGGTGTATCCCAGACCTATCAGGAATATCAGACAGCCGATGGTGATCCAGCCAATGAGTGAAACAGGAAACCCTGTATCATGATAAAGAAGGAATAGATATTGACGATTCAATGTGACAAATAACAGCTGGCAAATCAGAAGTCCAAGCCAACGTTCTACCAAAACTTTCAATGTCTTGACAACTCATTTGAAACTTCTCCAAGAATTTAGTCTTACGATCAGATGAAAATAACAACTGTTCAATGGCCTTCGTCCTTTCGTCCTTAGTGAATTAGTTTTCTGCATGACACAGATGTAGCTTATCTAGGGTATTACATCTCACATTTATTAAAATAAATACTCTGGACCTATCCAGCTCCATTCGACAGAGGTAACGATAATTATCGCTATTAAATTAAAATGCACCTTTAATCAAGAGGATGCGAGGCTACTGAAGGAGAGATGGTGAAAAACGTTATGGAGCAAATAGGGTATTTATCTTATAATACCCCGGGTACTCGAGGATGAACTTTGCCATTGCGTTATGTATTTGATCATTTCTAATCTCACTTGTGTCAATGACTTTAAGGTACACTGGATCGCTAAAGACTCCATCTAGTCCCGCGACCGTCCTCTGTCGGATCCTTACTCTGTAAGTCACATCCTTCAGTAGACCGGGGATGACATAAGTGTCACTCTCACTTGTAATGCTGGTCGTGTCTGAAAGGGTGATAAGGAAATCAATGAATGTCATGGCTGACGTTGGACCACTATTCGGTAAAACCATTGAGGACTGGTGCTGACAAACCAATTATCATAATCAGATCAGTTGGAACTCACGAACAGCTGGTACCAATGACGTCTATGGTATACGGAGTCAAATGTGTTGTGCTATAGCCAAGCAATGATACGAAGGTCTGTGTTTATTCGAGTCCGGGCCAGGCAAACCAGAGGATAACTGAGTGAGTTAGTGAGTACGTTAGGTTTTACGTCGCGTTTAAACACATTTACAGCAAATTAGGCTTGAAATGAGCTTCACACATTGTACCAACTTGGGAATTGAATCTAGGCCTTCGGTGTGACGAGCGAACGCTTTAACCACTAGACTACACCGCCGCCAACCACAGAATGAGTAATAATCAACTCTACCTATCAGCAACATGGTGTTACAACACAATTCTTATTTAACAAGCAAGGATACAATGTATCAATTCTGCCCCGTTGCTCCAGAGATTTATACATAGAGTAGATCTCTAGATCTGTTGTGTTCTGACCTTTAGCCCCAGAGTTTTACATGGAGTAGATATGTAAAGTGTGATGTATTATGTCCTTTAGCCCAAGTGTTTTACATGGAGTACATCTGCATAGTGTGAAGTGTTCTGTCCTTTAGCCCAGGTTTTTACATGGAGTAGATATGTATAGTGTGATGTGTTCTGTCCTTTAGCCCCAGTGTTTTACATGGAGTACATCTGCATAGTGTGAAGTGTTCTGTCCTTTAACCCAGGGTTTTACATGGAGTACATATGCATAGTGTGAAGTGTTCTGTCCTTTAGCCCCAGGGTTTTACAGTGAGTAGATATGTATAGTGTGATGTGTTCTGTCCTTTACCCCCAGGGTTTTACATGCAGTAGATATGTATAGTGTGATGTGTTCTGTCCTTTACCCCCAGGGTTTTACATGAAGTATATATGTATAGTGTGATGTGTTCTGTCCTTTACCCCAAAGGGTTTTACATAGAGTACATCTGCATAATGTGAAGTGTTCTGTCCTTTAGCACAGGGTTTTACATGGAGTAGATATGCATAGTGTGAAGTGTTCTGTCCTTTAGCCCCAGGGTTTTACAGTGAGTAGATATGTATAGTGTGATGTGTTCTGTCCTTTACCCCCAGGGTTTTACATGCAGTAGATATGTATAATGTGATGTGTTCTGTCCTTTACCCCCAGGGTTTTACATGAAGTAGATATGTTTAGTGTGATGTGTTCTGTCCTTTACCCCCAGGGTTTTACATGCAGTAGATATGTATAGTGTGATGTGTTCTGTCCTTTACCCCCAGGGTTTTACATGAAGAAGATATGTATAGTGTGATGCGTTCTGCCCTTTACCCCCAGGGTTTTACATGAAGTAGATATGTATACTGTGATGTGTTCTGTCCTTTACCCCCAGGGTTTTACATGAAGTAGATATGTATAGTGTGATGTGTTCTGTCCTTTACCCCCAGGGTTTTACATGAAGTAGATATGTATAGTGTGATGAGTTCTGCCCTTTACCCCAGGGTTTTACATGAAGTAGATATGTATAGTGTGATGCGTTCTGCCCTTTACCCCAAAGGGTTTTACATGAAATAGATTTGTATAGTGTGATGTGTTCTGTCCTTTACCCCCTGGGTTTTACATGAAGTAGATATGTATAGTGTGATGTGTTCTGTCCTTCACCCCAAAGGGTTTTACATGAAGTAAATATGTATAGTGTGATGTGTTCTGTCCTTACCCAAGGGTTTTATATGAAGTAGATATGTATAGTGTGATGTGTTCTGTCCTTTACCCCAAAGGGTTTTACATGGAGTACATCTGTATAGTGTGATGTGTTCTGTCCTTTACTCCCAGGGTTTTACATGCAGTAGATATGTATAGTGTGATGTGTTCTGCCCTTTACTCCCAGGGTTTTACATGAAGTAGATATGTATAGTGTGATGTGTTCTGTCCTTTACCCCCAGGGTTTTACATGAAGTAGATATGTATAGTGTGATGTGTTCTGTCCTCTACCCCCAGGGTTTTACATGAAGTAGATATGTATAGTGTGATGTGTTCTGTCCTTTATCCCCAGGGTTTTACATGAAGTAGATATGTATAGTGTGATGCGTTCTGTCCTTAACCCAGGGTTTACATGAAGTAGATATGTATAGTGTGATGTGTTCTGTCCTTTACCCCCAGGGTTTTACATGAAGTAGATATGTATAGTGTGATGTGTGATGTCCTTTATCCCCAGGGTTTTACATGAAGTAGATATGTATAGTGTGATGCGTTCTGTCCTTACCCCAGGGTTTTAAATGGAGTGGATCTGTATAGTGTGATGTGTTCTGCCCTTTAGCCCAAGGGGTTTAAAATGAAGTAGATATGTATAGTGTGATGTGTTCTGTCCTTACCCCAGGGTTTTACAGTGAGTAGATATGTATAGTGTGATGTGTTCTGTCCTTTACCCCCAGGGTTTTACATGAAGTAGATATGTATAGTGTGATGTGTTCTGTCCTTACCCCAGGGTTTTACATGGAGTAGATCTGTATAGTGTGATGTGTTCTGCCCTTTACCCCCAGGGTTTTACATGAAGTAGATATGTATAGTGTGATGTGTTCTGTCCTTAGCCCAGGGTTTTACAGTGAGTAGATATGTATAGTGTGATGTGTTCTGTCCTTACCCCAGGGTTTTACATGGAGTAGATATGTATAGTGTGATGCGTTCTGCTATTTACCCCCAGGGTTTTACATGAAGTAGATATGTATAATATGATGTGTTCTGTCCTTACCCCAGGGTTTTACATGAAGTAGATATGTATACTGTGATGTGTTCTGTCCTTTACCCCCAGGGTTTTACATGAAGTAGATATGTTTAGTGTGATGTTTTCTGTCCTTTACCCCAGGGTAAAGCATGAAGTAGATATGTATAGTGTGATGTGTTCTGTCCTTTACCCCCAGGGTTTTACATGCAGTAGATATGTTTAGTGTGATGTTTTCTGTCCTTTACCCCCAATGTTTTACATGAAGTAGATATGTATAGTGTGATGCGTTCTGCTATTTACCCCCAGGGATTTACATGAAGTAGATATGTATAGTGTGATGTGTTCTGTCCTTTACCCCCAGGGTTTTACATGAAGTAGATATGTATAGTGTGATGTGTTCTGTCCTTTACCCCAGGGTAAAGCATGAAGTAGATATGTATAGTGTGATGTGTTCTGTCCTTTACTCCCAGGGTTTTACATGAAGTAGATATGTTTAGTGTGATGTGTTCTGCCCTTTACTCCCAGGGTTTTACATGAAGTAGATATGTATAGTGTGATGTGTTCTGTCCTTTACCCCAAAGGGTTTTACATGAAGTAGATATGTATAGTGTGATGTGTTCTGTCCTTTACCCCCAGGGTAGAGCATGAAGTAGATATGTATAGTGTGATGTGTTCTGTCCTTTACTCCCAGGGTTTAACATGAAGTAGATATGTATAGTGTGATGCGTTCTGCCCTTTACTCCCAGGGTTTTACATCAAGTAGATATGTATAGTGTGATGTGTTCTGCCCTTTACTCCCAGGGTTTTACATGAAGTAGATATGTTTAGTGTGATGTGTTCTGCCCTTTACCCCAAAGGGTTTTACATGAAGTAGATATGTATAGTGTGATGTGTTCTGCCCTTTACTGCCAGGGTTTTACATGAAGTAGATATGTATAGTGTGATGTGTTCTGCCCTTTACTCCCAGGGTTTTACATGAAGTAGATATGTATAGTGTGATGTGTTCTGTCCTTTACCCCCAGGGTTTTACATGCAGTAGATATGTATAATGTGATGTGTTCTGTCCTTTACCCCCAGGGTTTTACATGAAGTAGATATGTATAGTGTGATGTGTTCTGTCCTTTACCCCCAGGGTTTTACATGCAGTAGATATGTAAAGTGTGATGTGTTCTGTCCTTTACCCCCAGGGTTTTACATGAAGAAGATATGTATAGTGTGATGCGTTCTGCCCTTTACCCCAGGGTTTTACATGAAGTAGATATGTATAGTGTGATGTGTTCTGTCCTTTAACCCCAGGGTTTTACATGAAGTAGATATGTATAGTGTGATGTGTTCTGTCCTTTACCCCCAGGGTTTTACATGAAGAAGATATGTATAGTGTGATGCGTTCTGCCCTTTACCCCAGGGTTTTACATGAAGTAGATATGTATAGTGTGATGTGTTCTGTCCTTTAACCCCAGGGTTTTACATGAAGTAGATATGTATAGTGTGATGTGTTCTGTCCTTTACCCCCAGGATTTTACATGAAGTAGATATGTATAGTGTGATGTGTTCTGTCCTTTACTCCCAGGGTTTTACATGAAGTAGATATGTATAGTGTGATGAGTTCTGCCCTTTACCCCAGGGTTTTACATGAAGTAGATATGTATAGTGTGATGCGTTCTGTCCTTAACCCAGGGTTTTACATGGAGTACATATGTATAGTGTGATGTGTTCTGTCCTCTACCCCCAGGGTTTTACATGAAGTAGATATGTATAGTGTGATGTGTTCTGTCCTTTACTCCCAGGGTTTTACATGAAGTAGATATGTATAGTGTGATGTGTTCTGTCCTTTACCCCCAGGGTAGAGCATGAAGTAGATATGTATAGTGTGATGTGTTCTGTCCTTTACTCCCAGGGTTTTACATGAAGTAGATATGTATAGTGTGATGCGTTCTGCCCTTTACTCCCAGGGTTTTACATGAAGTAGATATGTATGGTGTGATGTGTTCTGCCCTTTACCCCAGGGTTTTACATGAAGTAGATATGTTTAGTGTGATGTGTTCTGTCCTTTACCCCAGGGTTTTACATGAAGTAGATATGTTTAGTGTGATGTGTTCTGTCCTTTACTCCCAGGGTTTTACATGAAGTCGATATGTATAGTGTGATGCGTTCTGCCCTTTACTCCCAGGGTTTTACATGAAGTAGATATGTATAGTGTGATGTGTTCTGTCCTCTACCCCCAGGGTTTTACATGAAGTAGATATGTATAGTGTGATGTGTTCTGCCCTTTACTCCCAGGGTTTTACATGAAGTAGATCTGTATAGTGTGATGTGTTCTGCCCTTTACCCCCAGGGTTATATACAGAGTAGATATGTTTAACGTGAAGCGACTGACACAACTGAATCAGAGATTATTGTGCTGACATTATGAGTTACTTCAAGATATAGCATACCGCAAGTAACGTAGTTTGCGTTGTGGCAGTACTCTATGCGGTACTCAGTAATCAGCATGGCATCGTAGCAACGCTTCGGGGACCATTTCACAGTCAGGCCCAGGTTCGGCTGGCTTTTAACAGACGAGACAACTGGCTTGTCCGTGGGTGCTGAAGTCAATAAACTTATTACCACACATATTTTAACAATACTTACACATATCACATGTGTTAGGGAGTAGTGATTGAGTTGGGGTTTAACGCCGCATTGAATAGTATTTCGACTATATCACGGCGCGACAGCTTAAGTGCAAGGAGACTTATATAGGTCAATGACCTTTCTATTTTGCTAACATGGGTGTTGTGCTGACAGAATAGAAATTCGAATTCAGGATAGCGCATCCTAACATGCAAAAGGGACTCAACTTTGCAAGACAAATTATGGTGTTTAAACCAAGTCCTCGATCAATCATTTAGTTCAAGTGTAAATATATAAGCAAAACATGTTTGTTTGTTGTTTAACGCCGCGCTCTGCAATATTCCAACTATATGACGGCGGTCTGAAAAATAATCGAGTCTGGACCAGACAATCGAGTGATTGACATCATGAGCATCGATCCACGCAATTGGGATACGATGACATGCATCGACCAAGTCAGCGAGCCTGACTATCCAATACCCTTAGTCGCCCCTTACATCAAGCATAGTCGCCTTTTATGGCAAGCATGGGTTGCTGAAGACCTATTCAACTCTGATCTTCACGGGTCAGCAAAACATCTAAAACATGTGAACATTTATTACAATCACGCCAATTTGTCAATGTTGGACTTGGACCTACACTTTGATACGTTGTATACACAACTACTCAGCACCATTCCGCTGCTCCCCTCTGCTGTCGTCATGGAGACAGCAAATTGGATCTTGTCAGGAGACATTTTCAAAGGGACCTTTACAAAGGATTCGTTATTGTCGCTTTTGATCCAGTCTACTTGATTCTGAAACAATGTATTAATGGCTGGTAACAGGAGTTAGTGGAACCAGGATTAAACGAGATTGAACAAGATGTGTAGCAGAGACCTAGCAAGCCTTGGGATCAGGATTCCAAACACAATAAACAAGGTGTGTAGCAGAGACCTAGCAGGCCTTGGGATCAGGATTCCAGAAACAATAAACAAGATGTGTTCCAGACACTTAACAAGCCTTAGCGTCAGGATTTCAGAAACAATAAACAAGATGTGTAGCAGATACCTAGCAAGCCTTGGGATCAGGATTCCAGAAACAATAAACAAGATGTGTTGCAGATACTTAACAAGCCTTAGCGTCAGGATTCCAGAAACAATAAACAAGATGTGTAGCAGATACCTAGCAAGCCTTGGGATCAGGATTCCAGAAACAATAAACAAGATGTGTTCCAGATACATAGCAAGCCTTGGCATCAGTATTCCAGATACACTAACCCAAATGTGTTGCGGATAACTGACAAATCTGATCAACAGGATACCAGACACAATAAACATTGTCAAGATGTACCTCACAATCCTGAACGTCATGATTCCAGACACAGAATATATTCCAGGATATGGTCCAGTTCTTCTCTTCATGTGACGCTGATTTCCAGGACACATTCACTGATTCGTTGTCAAAGGCAACCAGAACATCCGTCGGTGGTAGGACTGTATATGGAAAATATCATGGGTAAAGCAGCTTTCAAGTATGTTAGACAAATATTACAATAGTTATGCATATAATAAAGGCTTGCATGTATGTTAACTTGATACACTAGCTGACTAAAATTAAGGATTTTCTATAACTCCCTACATGGCTGTCATAATGTAAATATTTCAGTTTATTATTTATATTTATATTTAATAATAATCATCATCATCATCTTCATCATCATCATAATAGTCCATTTATATGACGCTGTACACCATGCTCTAAGCGCTAAGACATTATCACCCCGGTCACTGGATCGATAAATGCTGGATATTCTGAAATACGCTGAATAAATTATTAATTTTGACTTTTGAACCTCTCGATCCGTTTCTACTCAAATCCCTGGTTTAGGATAAACTATTGTTAATCGCTCAGTTAGACTAAACAAATTGTTAATGTCCATGCACTAATGTTGCAGTTGGAACGAGGTGTGGACATACCGTCACCGAGTTTAGGAATACGTAGTGTGAAGGGTGGAGACATTCCGACATCATTGGCGGCATATACAGACACGTTGTAGTCAGCGTTGCAATCTAGGGCTTCGAGCAGTACTGTTGAATCGGTAATGTCTGCATTGTTAAGGCCACGCGCATATGTAACGTTATACCTCCTCAGGACGCCGTTGTGAGTCGTATGATCTGGTGGCTGAAGCGAACATAAGCGGACGGTGAGACGGTAACACAACACACTCGTCTCTCACACACACACATACTCACACACGCACGCACGCACACACACACACACACACACACACACACACACACACACACACACACACACACACACACACACACACACACACACACACACACACACACGTGTGAGTCGTATGATCTTGTGGCTGAAGTGAACATAAGCGGACGGTTAAAACAGTAACACAACACACACGTCTCTTGCACACACACAGATACACACACACACCGACACTCACACACACACACACACACGCACACAGATTCACACACACAGACACACGCACGCACACACATATACACACACGCACGCACCCACACCCTCTCTCTCATACACACACGTACACTCTCTCTCACACACAGGGAGTATAGTCACACAGTCTCACACACACTTTCCTTCTCTCTCACATACACACACAAAGCCCCTATCTCACACTCACTGACATGCTTTTTGAAACACGCACAAATTATCTCATTCCCATCCTCTCTCGCGCACTGAGTCACCACACACACACACACACACACACACACACACACACACACACACACACACACACACACACACACACACACACACACACACACACACACACACAGACACACACACACACACACACACACTCACTCACTCACACACAGACACACACACACACACACACACACACACTGTTAACTCCACGCTCGCTCACTGTCACCAACTTTCATTTACGCGCCTGCACACGCTCCTTCTTGCTCAGGCACAAATACACTTTTTGCCTCCTAGGACACCATTACTCAGAGCCAAATGATACAAAAATCATACAAATATTTAAAAACAGAAGAACTATACCCTAAGATATATGGTAACACTCCTCGTGTTATTGACGCACTTGTGTGCAGTGAAGCTTGCATCAGTCATGTTGGGTGCGGCCCCTGGCTCTGTGAAAATAGAGAGAGTTCAATCAAACGCCACTTTGAACAGCACGTTGCATTACAGCTACATGACGGCGAGTGGGCGTGCTATGGTGAGTGAGTGAGGTTTAACGCCGCTTTAACATTATTCCAGTTATATCGCGGCGTGTCAGCTTAATGTGGGAGGAAAGCCCGAAGTGATGCAGGTCTCAGACCACTTCGGTAAAACCCACGAGCACGGGTATGGTGCTGACAAACCTAGAAACATAATCGGGGCGAACCGGGATTCGAACCCACAATCATAGGTTTCTAGCGTGCCCAAGGGACGCAACTCTGCACAGCGAATCGCGGCGCCTTAGACGACTTGGCCACCCGTTCCCCGGGCGTGCTGTGGAGGAAAGCCCGAAGTGGTGCAGAAATTTATAGTTTATTTGTTTTACACCGCACTCAGCGATATTCCAGCTATATAACGGCGATCTGTAAATAATCGAAAATGGACCAGACAATCCAGTGATTGACATCATGAGCATCAAGGCACGCAATTGGGATACGATGACATGCATCAACCAAGTCAGCAAGCCTGCCCACCCGATCCCGTTAGTCGCCCCTTACGACAAGCATAGTCGCCTTTTATAATTTTGGTGAAACTCAAGGTGAGGTGAGGTTTAACGTCGCGTCCAAGATTATTTATTGCACTTGAATTATTGCGACGTGAATGCATGTGTGTGTGTGTGTGTGTGTTTGTGTGGCTGCTTTATAGTGCTAGCTCACTGAGATACAATGCCGCAGTTTAACATGAATACCCCACTCAGACACAGTATACTGACTCCGAGCCGACCAGTCCTTGTTTTAGCCCCTTAATGCTGAGTGCCAGACAGAGTAACAACAAGTACCATATTTTAACGTCTTTTGGTATGACGCGGCCGGGGATCGAAGCCGGAACCTTCCGCTCTCCGGGCGGACGCTCTACCACAAGACCACGGAGGCGTCGGGTGAAACTGAAGAGATATGGTGCTGACAAACCAAGAATCAATTTAGGGCGGACATAAATAGACCCCGGGCCACCATGCCCAGCCTCAAGGGAGACACGATTCCAAGCTCAAATGATATCGAAACTTGAACTATGACGTGTTACAATACTAACACTGACCGTGCTATCAATATAAAAGGTTTCAGAGTACTCCTGACCTTCATCTTCAAAGGAAATAATAAGAGGCGTTGTAGGGGAAGTACATTTTCGCATCTTTCATTTCTCTTGAATAAATTTATTTCCGGTATTTCTAATGTTAAACCATGTCCGTGTGCACTGTCATAGTTGTTCTCATCTCCCTCGTAGCGTTCCGCTCGAAAACAAATTCTGAATATATTTCATCCCACTCTAGGAAGATTGAACGAATTTCCCGTTTCGAAATAAGATTTATTCCAAGTAGGGAAATATATACTGTAGCTTCAATTTCCGTCTTTATGCTCTCAACACCGACAGAGAAACTTCCCTTACACACCGGATCGAGTACAAAACAATGTTGCGAGTTTATGACCACGCGTATTCTCGATATGTGTTCAAAATTCACAACCTGGGGGTCAGGATTCAAATTGTTAATATTTATCACATTTATTTATTTTGTTGTTGTTCGGTCAATACAAATTTCTTGATCGCCTGCCCCCATCCCTATAAAGCTGATTGAGAAATATATATATATGTCCAAATGTTTAAAACTTACCTGGACCGCCTCCCAGAGAGCGGAAGGTCCAGGGCTCGATCCCCGACCGCGTCATATCAAAAGACGTTAAAATATGGTACTTGTTGTTACTCTGTCTGGCGCTCGGCATTATGGGGCTAAAACAAGGACTGGTCGGCTCGGAGGCAGTATACTGTGTCTGAATAGGGTATTCATGTTAAACTGCGGCATGGTATCTCAGTGTGCTAGCACTATAAATCGGCATCAGTCCGGACTAGTACAAGCAGCCACACAAACACACACACGTACATGCACGTCGCTATATAAGTGCAATAATCTTGGACGCGACGTTAAAACCCATTTCACCTTAGCTCACTAAAACTCACCTTCTTCTGTTGTGTTGGCAGGCGCTGTCCTCGGGTCACTCGGGTACCCATGTCCAGCGGAGGCGGAGACGCTCAAGTTGTATCTCGTGTTTGGAGTCAGTCCGCAGATCGTTATAGTATGCTCGGATGTTTCAGTGGTGTTTGTCTGTGAACATTCAGAATCATTTAAAGCATGTTACGCTTGGAGGGTACATTGATCTATCGGTGAACTGTAGCATCTTTCCACGCTCAAACACATAGATGATAATGTTATTAAGGAAACAAGAGGGGACCTAGTTATTGTTTAAAATCATGACGTCATATCAGATTTTTCATCCAAAAATGGCTTGGGTGCGATCTCCTGGAAATATATGGCATCACAATGTTTTGCAGACCATTGCGACGTCATCGGTTGTCATAACGTCATAATCAAATGTCATCACTTATCTCTCTGCTACTGAAACTGTTCAGTTCTACTTTTAAAACTCAAGGCGGAGGTTAATACTGTTAACAAACTGAAAACGTTGGAAGAATGATTTTGGATGATAAATAGAATCTCACCCTCGTGTCTTTTGATATCAAACATATCAACCCTCAGAGTTCTAACTTTTAGTAACTCGTGTTGATATACTAGTATTTGATATCAGCAGACACTTGGTTGAGATTTTTTAAATACTGCCTGGGTAAAAACTCTTCATTGTCATAGCAACACGTGTGTTGATAAATGGTGACCATTACAAAGACGGTATAATGCAAAACCATTTGCTCGAACATAAACAAATTTGTTCAACAGATTTAGTTTCGCGTTATTCTGTGCTTCTTGGAAATCAGTTGATTTCTTGAGTTATAATTAAATTAAGTGAGTATCTAGGAGACGTACAGAGGTGAAAGTACTGTACGTCACTCTGAATGTGACAGGTCTGTCCCATCTGTCTTTGTTCCACGCCAACCCTACACAACGACTAGTGACATGGGTGACTTTCAGAGACTCCACAGGTGCCGGTTTCACTGAAACATGAAAGTGAGTGAGTGAGTGAGTGAGTATGGTTTTACGCCGCTTTTAGCAATATTCCAGGAATATAACGGCGGGGGACACCAGAAATGGGCTTCACATATTGTACCCATGTCGGGAATCGAACCCGGGTCTTCGGCGTGGCGTACGAACGCTTTAACCACTAGGCTACCCGACCGCCCCGAAACTAAACAAACGGATTGTTCAAATTACTGCAGGGACACCAAGTTAACGGCTAGGATAATTCTGTGGAATGCTGAATTATCAAGCACACTTATTAACCTGTCTGTTGGCTTTATTAAAAAGGAATTGTGATATCAAACTTTCGAGGTTGAATCAGATGAATCAGATGAATCAATATTTTGCACAAATATGTTACATATTTTTCATATATAACAGTATGGTCAGTGGTAGATACATTTGAGAAATGTTTTTTTGTCAAGTGACAGATGTTGTTTTTCTCTGACAGAATTGTCAGTCGCGGTGAAAAGAAAAGAAACAAACAGCCAGGAGTTAAATCATCAGTTAGTTTCCTCATTAACGTACAGTAAACTACGGTTATAACGAGCACGCTTATAACGAACTGACGGATATAACGAACTTACTTTTTTGGTCCCGACTATTTACTGTAGTTATGCTGTATATATGTTTATAACGAACTACGGTTATAACGAACTAAAATTAGTAGTCCCTTTGAGTTCGTTATAACCGTAGTCTACTGTATCATAACTACAGACATTTGCGAAAGTCAGGACCCGGAAGGACAAGTTTCCGGTTAACCGGAGTGCGGACATGCGGTTTTTTACAGTACATGAAAATGACACAAGACACGATAAACTGAAATCATGGTTGTGGGTGATATACAAAGATATCTCTGGGATATTTTTTTATTAACGAGACAGAGCACGGGTGGCCCAGTCGTCTGTGGCGCTGCAGTTCGCCGCGCAGAGTTGTGTGCCTTAGGCTAAACAGGATCCTATGATCGTGTATGATACTTGATTAGTCAGCACCATACACGTGCTCGCAGTGTAAATGTCACTTTGCATCACCATCGTCTTTCTTTTCACATTATAATGACACTCCGCGATGTCACTGAAATTATGTCAACGGTGAGTGAGTGAGTTGGGTTTAGCGCCGCTTTTAACAGTATTCCAGTTATATCGCGGCGTGTCAGCTTAATGTGGGAGAAAAGCCCGAAGTGATGCAGGTCTCAGACGTTTACCACTTCGGTGAAACCCACGAGCACGGGTATGGTGCTGACAAACCTAGAAACATAATCGGGGCGAACCGTGATTCGAACCCACAACCATAGGTTTCTGGCGTGCCCAAGGGACGCAACTCTGCACAGCGAATCGCGGCGCCTTAGACGACTGGGCCACCCGTCCCCCCTTATGTCAACAGCATCAAATCCAACACTCACTCACTCACTCACTCACTCACTCACTCACTCACTTATAATAATAATCAACAATGTTCTAGCTATGTGACGGTGCTCTCTAAATAATAGAGTCTGGATCAGACAATCCGCTGATTGACATTATGAGCATCGATCCACGCAGTTGGTAACGACGACATGCATCAACCATGTTCAGGTCAGCGTGCCCAGTCCCCGTCCGTCGCCAACAAGAATAGGTTTCCCGGATTCGGAAATAATGATGAAATATACCGATAAAATTGGAGGCTAGTACCCTACCATGATCCCTTGTCGTCATCGACATGCTTTTGACAGAAGCGCCATCTTGAGTGCTCAGTGTTATGTTGAATTTGTAGCTTGTGGAACCCCTGAAGTTTGACTCATCCAGGAAGCAGGATCGATGTGTGCTCGTGGAGCAATAGTACCAACTGCAATGTCAAACAGTATAAGATGAATATACACAACTCACAAAACACTCACAGAAGACTCACAGAACTCTCACAGATCATATTATGTAATTAATAATATCCCGAAACGTACAGCTTAAGAGGGGGCACGGGTGGCCCAGTCGTCTAAGGCGCCGCGATTCGCTGTGCACAGTTGCGTCCCTTGGGCACGCCAGAAATCTATGATTGTGGGTTCGAATCCCGGTTCGCCCCGATTATGTTTCTAGGTCTGTCAGCACCATACCCGTGCCCGTGGGTTTCACCGAAGTGGTAAACGTCTGTGACCTGCATCACTTCGGGCTTTCCTCCCACATTAAGCTGACACGCCGCGATATAACTGGAATACTGTTAAAAGCGGCGTTAAACCAAACTCACTCACTACAGCTTAAGAACAAAAGAATCCTATGGGTTCACAATAAACCCGTAGGGCACAGCCTTGTACAGTATTTCAGTTATATCACCGAGTGTCAACTTGTTATGAGGGAAAACAAGAAGTGTCTTAGACGTTAAACCCACCAGCAGGGGTATGGTGCTGACAAACTTTGAAATATAATATGAAACAATTTCAACCTAAAACCGAGGAGGAGAGTTTTAACTTACTTATAAACCTAAATGCAAGAATTACAAGAAATAACAAAAAACACCGGGATACCATATAGTGACACAATGCAGTAGTCGCGGTATATAACGAACTCAGTGACAGGGTAGACCGCGAAGATAACGTGCAGCATGCAGACAACTGAATTCATGACATGTGAGACTGAACACCCTTTCATCAACTGTCCCAGTGGGAAAAGTGTGACAATCCTTTACATGATATGTAACATTGCAGATTCGATTCACGTCGTAGAATTTTGGCATTCCTTTGAATTTCATAGTAATTGCCAAGGTATTCCATAGAAAGACTCTGCTAAGAGGTTCTTCTGCAAAAACAAGGCCCGTAAAAAAATAGGATGACGTCACTAAAGGTTAATAGTTATGAAAATGTACTACTTTGATAGGTTATGCAACAACGCAGTGTTGTTTTGACACACATCGACCAGCTAATACATTTGAGTAAATACGCACTTGAGTTGACCCATTGTTACGTTCTTGGGAAATATAATTATGCATTTCTAAATCAATACAAACGAAACAAAACGTCTGCTATACAATTGATTGAAATAGCGTGGCTTTTCCTACTAATTCGCGCCTGTTGCCGTCCAGATGACGGAGACGTTTATGTCCTCTGGGTGCTGGTGCCCCACGATGTCCCAGCCTGCAGTCAGCGTCTTCCAGTTGCTCACGACGAAGGTGAAGTTCGTCGCTTCTGGGTCTGCAGTAACAATATCGTGAACATGATGTTGCAAGGAGGTTGAAAGACGCGGACATATAAGCATATGTATATATTGTTTGTTAATTGTCTAGCCCCATTCACATGGACAAAATTTACTCATGTAAGCAAATTTACTCTTGGAGTACATTTACTCATGTAAGCAAAAGTATATTTACATTGCGTTCACATGAAGTTTATGCAAGGCAGAAGTAAACATTATTTCATAAATAAATTGTGGACTTTTATCATTTGAGGCCATGTCGCTGTCGAAGATAATCAACCAGAGGCGAAAGAGAGACTTTCAATACTTTCTTAGTATGGGATTAGTCTTAGGATTATGCCAGGAAAGAGAACTGTGGAAGAGAGAACGTTCTCAACACTGGTGGAACAATGTCGTCAAACGATCATTTGATGATAAACTGTGAATCGATAACTTTCGCATGACACGCGAAACATGTTCAAGCCCTGTCTGGCGCTCGGAATTAAGGGGCTAAAACAAGGACTGGTCGGCTCGGGGTCAGTATACTGTGTCTGAGTGGGGTATTCATGTTAAACTGCGGCATGGTATCTCAGTGTGCTAGCACTATAAATCGGCATCAGTCCGGACTAGTACAAGCAGCCACACAAACACACACACGTACATGCACGTCGCTATATAAGTGCAATAATCTTGGACGCGACGTTAAAACCCATTTCACCTCAGCTCACTAAAACTTACCTTCTGTTGTGTTGGCAAGCGCTGTCCTCGGGTCACTTGGGTACCCATGCCCATATTCATCGGAGGCGGAGACGCTCAAGTTGTATCTCGTGTTTGGAGTCAGTCCGCAGATCGTTATAGTATGCTCGGATGTTTCAGTGGTGTTTGTCTGTGAACATTCAGAATCATTTAAAGCATGTTACGCTTGGAGGGTACATTGATCTATCGGTGAACTGTAGCATCTTTCCACGCTCAAACACATAGATGATAATGTTATTAAGGAAACAAGAGGGGACCTAGTTATTGTTTAAAATCATGACGTCATATTAGATTTTATCATCCTAAAATGGCTTGGGTGCGATCTCCTGGAAATATATGGCATCACAATGTTTTTGCAGACCATTGCGACGTCATCGGTTGTCATAACGTCATAATCAAATGACATCACTTATCTCTCTGCTACTGAAACTGTTCAGTTCTACTTTTAAAACTCAAGGCGGAGGTTAATACTGATAACAAACTGAAAACGTTGGAAGAATGATTTTGGATGATAAATAGAATCTCACCCTCGTGTCTTTAGATATCAAACATATCAACCCTCAGAGTTCTAACTTTTAGTAACTCGTGTTGATATACTAGAATTTGATATCAGCAGTCACTTGGTTGAGATTTTTTAAATACTGCCTAGGTAAAAACTCTTCATTGTCATAGCAACACGTGTATTAATAAATGGTGACCATTACAAAGACGGTATAATGCAAAACCATTTGCTCGAACATAAACAAATTTGTTCAACAGATTTAGTTTCGCTTTATTCTGTGCTTCTTGGAAATCAGTTGATTTCTTGAATTATAATTAAATTAAGTGAGTATCGAGGAGACGTACAGAGGTGAAAGTACTGTACGTCACTCTGAATGTGACAGTTCTGTCCCATGTGTCTTTGTTCCACGCCAACCCTACACAACGACTGGTGACATGGGTGACTTTCAGAGACTCCACAGGTGCCGGTTTCACTGAAACATGAAAGTGAGTGAGTGAGTGAGTATGGTTTTACGCCGCTTTTAGCAATATTCCAGGAATATAACGGCGGGGGACACCAGAAATGGGCTTCACACATTGTACCCATGTCGGGAATCGAACCCGGGTCTTCGGCGTGGCGTACGAACGCTTTAACCACTAGGCTACCCGACCGCCCCGAAACATGAAAGAGGAACCCTAAACAAACGGATTGTTCAAATTACTGCAGGAACACCAAGTTAATGGCTAGGATAACTCTGTGGAATGCTGAATTATCAAGCACACTTATTAACCTGTCTGTTGGCTTTGTTAAAAAGGAATTGTGATATCAAACTTTCGAGGTTTCATTTAACAGATGAATCAATATTTTGCACAAATATGTTACATATTTTCATATATAACAGTATGGTCAGTGGTAGATACATTTTAGAAATCTTTTTTTGTCAAGTGACAGATGTTGTTTTTCTCTGACAGAATTGTCAGTCGGGGGGATAAGAAAAGAAACTCCTGGTAACAAACAGCCAGGAGTTAAATCATCAGCTAGTTTCCTCATTAACGTACAGTAAACTACGGTTATAACGAACACGCTTATAACAAAATGACGGATATAACGAACTTACTTTTTTGGTCCCGACTATTTACTGTAGTTATGCTGTATATATGTTTATAACGAACTACGGTTATAACGAACTAAAATTAGAAGTCACTTTGAGTTCGTTATAACCGTAGTCTACTGTATCATAACTTCAGACATTTGCGAAAGTCAGGACCCGGAAGGACAAGTTTCCGGTTAACCGGAGTGCGGACATGCGGTTTTTTACAGTACATGAAAATAACACAAGACACGATAAACTGAAATCATGGTTGTGGGTGATATACAAAGATATCTCTGGGATATTTTTTTATTAACGAGACAGAGCACGGGTGGCCGGTCGTCTGTGGCGCTGCAGTTCGCCGCGCAGAGTTGTGTGCCTTAGGCTAAACAGGATCCTATGATCGTGTATGATACTTGATTAGTCAGCACCATACACGTGCTCGCAGCGTAAATATCACTTTGCATCACCTTCGTCTTTCTTTTCACATTATAATGACACTCCGCGATGTCACTGAAATGATGTCAACAGTGAGTGAATGAGTTGGGTTTAGCGCCGCTTTTAACAGTATTCCAGTTATATCGCGGCGTGTCAGCTTAATGTGGGAGGAAAGCCCGAAGTGATGCAGGTCTCAGACGTTTACCACTTCGGTGAAACCCACGAGCACGGGTATGGTGCTGACAAACCTAGAAACCATGTTCAGGTCAGCGTGCCCAGTCCCCGTCCGTCGCCAACAAGAATAGGTTTCCACGATTCGGAAATCATGATGAAATATACCGATAAAATTGGAGGCTAGTACCCTACCATGATCCCTTGTCGTCATCGACATGCTTTTGACAGAAGCGCCATCTTGAGTGCTCAGTGTTATGTTGAATGTGTAGCTTGTGGAACCCCTGAAGTCAAACTCATCCAGGAAGCAGGATCGATGTGTGCTCGTGGAGCAATAGTACCAACTGCAATGTCAAACAGTATAAGATGAATATACACAACTCACAAAACACTCACAGAAGACTCACAGAACTCTCACAGAACATGTTATGTAATTAATAATATCCCGAAAGGTACAGCTTAAGAGGGGGCACGGGTGGCCCAGTCGTCTAAGGCGCCGCGATTCGCTGTGCAGAGTTGCGTCCCTTGGGCACGCCAGAAATCTATGATTGTGGGTTCGAATCCCGGTTCGCCCGATTATGTTTCTAGGTTTGTCAGCACCATACCCGTGCCCGTGGGTTTCACCGAAGTGGTAAACGTCTGTGACCTGCATCACTTCGGGCTTTCCTCCCACATTAAGCTGACACGCCGCGATATAACTGGAATACTGTTAAAAGCGGCGTTAAACCAAACTCACTCACTCACTACAGCTTAAGAACAAAAGAATCCTATGGGTTCACAATAAACCCGTAGGGCACAGCCTTGTACAGTATTTCAGTTATATCACCGAGTGTCAACTTGTTATGAGGGAAAACAAGAAGTGTCTTAGACGTAAAACCCACCAGCAGGGGTATGGTGCTGACAAACTTTGAAATATAATATGAAACAATTTCAACCTAAAACCGAGGAGGAGAGTTTTAACTTACTTATAAACCTAAATGCAAGAATTACAAGAAATAACAAAAAACACCGGGATACCATATAGTGACACAATGCAGTAGTCGCGGTATATAACGAACTCAGTGACAGGGTAGACCGCGAAGATAACGTGCAGCATGCAGACAACTGAATTCATGACATGTGAGACTGAACACCCTTTCATCAACTGTCCCGGTGGGAAAAGTGTGACAATCCTTTACATGATATGTAACATTGCAGATTCGATTCACGTCGTAGAATTTTGGCATTCCTTTGAATTTTATAGTAATTGCCAAGGTATTCCGTAGAAAGACTCTGCTAAGAGGTTCTTCTGCAAAAACAAGGCCCGTAAAAAAATAGGATGACGTCACTAAAGGTTAATAGTTATGAAAATGTACTACTTTGATAGGTTATGCAACAACGCAGTGTTGTTTTGACACACATCGACCAGCTAATACATTTGAGTAAATACGCACTTGAGTTGACCCATTGTTACTTTCTTGGGAAATATAATTATGCATTTCTAAATCAATACAAACGAAACAAAATGTCTGCTATACAATTGATTGAAATAGCGTGGCTTTTCCTACTGATTCGCGCCTGTTGCCGTCCAGATGACGGAGACGTTTATGTCCTCTGGGTGCTGGTGCCCCACGATGTCCCAGCCTGCAGTCAGCGTCTTCCAGTTGCTCACGACGAAGGTGAAGTTCGTCGCTTCTGGGTCTGCAGTAACAATATCGTGAACATGATGTTGCGAGGAGGTTGAAAGACGCGGACATATAAGCATATGTATAATTTGTTTGTTAATTGTCTAGCCCCATTCACATGGACAAAATTTACTCATGTAAGCAAATTTACTCTTGGAGTACATTTACTCATGTAAGCAAAAGTATATTTACATTGCGTTCACATGAAGTTTATGCAAGGCAGAAGTAAACATTATTTCATAAATAAATTGTGGACTTTTATCATTTGAGGCCATGTCGCTGTCGAAGATAATCAACCAGAGGCGAAAGAGAGACTTTCAATACTTTCTTTGTATGGGATTAGTCTTAGGATTATGCCAGGAAAGAGAACTGTGGAAGAGAGAACGTTCTCAACACTGGTGGAACAATGTCGTCAAACGATCATTTGATGATAAACTGTGAATCGATAACTTTCGCATGACACGCGAAACATGTTCAAGCCCTGTCTGGAGCTCGGCATTAAGGGGCTAAAACAAGGACTGGTCGGCTCGGAGTCAGTATACTGTGTCTGAATAGGGTATTCATGTTAAACTGCGGCATGGTATCTCAGTGTGCTAGCACTATAAATCGGCATCAGTCCGGACTAGTACAAGCAGCCACACAAACACACACACGTACATGCACGTCGTTATATAAGTGCAATAATCTTGGACGCGACGTTAAAACCCATTTCACCTTAGCTCACTAAAACTTACCTTCTGTTGTGTTGGCAAGCGCTGTCCTCGGGTCACTCGGGTACCCATGCCCATATGCATCGGAGGCGGAGACGCTCAAGTTGTATCTCGTGTTTGGAGTCAGTCCGCAGATCGTTATAGTATGCTCGGATGTTTCAGTGGTGTTTGTCTGTGAACATTCAGAATCATTTAAAGCATGTTACGCTTGGAGGGTACATTGATCTATCGGTGAACTGTAGCATCTTTCCACGCTCAAACACAGAGATGATAATGTTATTAAGGAAACAAGAGGGGACCTAGTTATTGTTTAAAATCATGACGTCATATTAGATTTTATCATCCTAAAATGGCTTGGGTGCGATCTCCTGGAAATATATGGCATCACAATGTTTTTGCAGACCATTGCGACGTCATCGGTTGTCATAACGTCATAATCAAATGACATCACTTATCTCGCTGCTACTGAAACTGTTCAGTTCTACTTTTAAAACTCAAGGCGGAGGTTAATACTGTTAACAAACTGAAAACGTTGGAAGAATGATTTTGGGATGATAAATAGAATCTCACCCTCGTGTCTTTTGATATCAAACATATCAACCCTCAGAGTTCTAACTTTTAGTAACTGGTGTTGATATACTAGTATTTGATATCAGCAGACACTTGTTTGAGATTTTTTAAATACTGCCTGGGTAAAAACTCTTCATTGTCATAGCAACACGTGTATTAATAAATGGTGACCATTACAAAGACGGTATAATGCAAAACCATTTGCTCGAACATAAACAAATTTGTTCAACAGATTTAGTTTCGCTTTATTCTGTGCTTCTTGGAAAATCAGTTGAGTTCTTGAATTACAATTAAATTAAGTGAGTATCGAGGAGACGTACAGAGGTGAAAGTACTGTACGTCACTCTGAATGTGACAGTTCTGTCCCATGTGTCTTTGTTCCACGCCAACCCTACACAACGACTGGTGACATGGGTGACGTTCAGAGACTCCACAGGTGCCGGTTTCACTGAAACATGAAAGTGAGTGAGTGAGTGAGTGAGTGAGTGAGTATGGTTTTACGCCACTTTTAGCAATATTCCAGGAATATCACGGCGGGGGACACCAGAAATGGGCTTCACACATTGTACACATGTCGGGAATCGAACCCGGGTCTTCGGCGTGGCGTACGCACGCTTTAACCACTAGGCTACCCGACCGCCCCGAAACATGAAAGAGGAACCCTAAACAAACGGATTGTTCAAATTACTGCAGGGACACCAAGTTAACGGCTAGGATAACTCCGTGGAATGCTGAATTATCAAGCACACTTATTAACCTGTCTGTTGGCTATATTAAAAAGGAATTGTGATATCAAACTTTCGAGGTTTCATTTATCAGATGAATTCATATTTTGCACAAATATGTTACATATTTTTCATATATAACAGTATGGTCAGTGGTAGATACATTTAGGAAATCTTTTTTTGTCAAGTGACAGATGTTGTTTTTCTCTGACAGAATTGTCAGTCGGGGGGAAAAGAAAAGAAACAAACAGCCAGGAGTTAAATCATCAGTTAGTTTCCTCATTAACGTACAGTAAACTACGGTTATAACGAACACGCTTATAACGAACTGACGGATATAACGAACTTACTTTTTTGGTCCCGACTATTTACTGTAGTTATGCTGTATATATGTTTATAACGAACTACGGTTATAACGAACTAAAATTAGTAGTCCCTTTGAGTTCGTTATAACCGTAGTCTACTGTATCATAACTACAGACATTTGCGAAAGTCAGGACCCGGAAGGACAAGTTTCCGGTTAACCGGAGTGCGGACATGCGGTTTTTTACAGTACATGAAAATGACACAAGACACGATAAACTGAAATCATGGTTGTGGGTGATATGCAAAGATATCTTTTGGATATTTTTTTATTAACGAGACAGAGCACGGGTGGCCGGTCGTCTGTGGCGCTGCAGTTCGCCGCGCAGAGTTGTGTGCCTTAGGCTAAACAGGATCCTATGATCGTGTATGATACTTGATTAGTCAGCACCATACACGTGCTCGCAGTGTAAATGTCACTTTGCATCACCTTCGTCTTTCTTTTCACATTATAATGACACTCCGCGATGTCACTGAAATTATGTCAACAGTGAGTGAGTGAGTTGGGTTTAGCGCCGCTTTTAACAGTATTCCAGTTATATCGCGGCGTGTCAGCTTAATGTGGGAGGAAAGCCCGAAGTGATGCAGGTCTCAGACGTTTACCACTTCGGTGAAACCCACGAGCACGGGTATGGTGCTGACAAACCTAGAAACCATGTTCAGGTCAGCGTGCCCAGTCCCCGTCCGTCGCCAACAAGAATAGGTTTCCCGGATTCGGAAATAATGATGAAATATACCGATAAAATGGGAGGCTAGTACCCTACCATGATCCCTTGTCGTCATCGACATGCTTTTGACAGAAGCGCCATCTTGAGTGCTCAGTGTTATGTTGAATGTGTATCTTGGGGAACCCCTGAAGTTTGACTCATCCAGGAAGCAGGATCGATGTGTGCTCTCGGAGCAATAGTACCAACTGCAATGTCAAACAGTATAAGATGAATATACACAACTCACAAAACACTCACAGAAGACTCACAGAACTCTCACAGATCATGTTATGTAATTAATAATATCCCGAAAAGTACAGCTTAAGAGGGGGCACGGGTGGCCCAGTCGTCTAAGGCGCCGCGATTCGCTGTGCAGAGTTGCGTCCCTTGGGCACGCCAGAAATCTATGATTGTGGGTTCGAATCCCGGTTCGCCCGATTATGTTTCTAGGTTTGTCAGCACCATACCCGTGCTCGTGGGTTTCACCGAAGTGGTAAACGTCTGTGACCTGCATCACTTCGGGCTTTCCTCCCACATTAAGCTGACACGCCGCGATATAACTGGAATACTGTTAAAAGCAGCGTTAAACCAAACTTACTCACTCACTACAGCTTAAGAACAAAAGAATCCTATGGGTTCACAATAAACCCGTAGGGCACAGCCTTGTACAGTATTTCAGTTATATCACCGAGTGTCAACTTGTTATGAGGGAAAACAAGAAGTGTCTTAGACGTAAAACCCACCAGCAGGGGTATGGTGCTGACAAACTTTGAAATATAATATGAAACAATTTCAACCTAAAACCGAGGAGGAGAGTTTTAACTGACTTATAAACCTAAATGCAAGAATTACAAGAAATAACAAAAAACACCGGGATACCATATAGTGACACAATGCAGTAGTCGCGGTATATAACGGACTCAGTGACAGGGTAGACCGCGAAGATAACGTGCAGCATGCAGACAACTGAATTCATGACATGTGAGACTGAACACCCTTTCATCAACTGTCCCGGTGGGAAAAGTGTGACAATCCTTTACATGATATGTAACATTGCAGATTCGATTCACGTCGTAGAATTTTGGCATTCCTTTGAATTTTATAGTAATTGCCAAGGTATTCCGTAGAAAGACTCTGCTAAGAGGTTCTTCTGCAAAAACAAGGCCCGTAAAAAAATAGGATGACGTCACTAAAGGTTAATAGTTATGAAAATGTACTACTTTGATAGGTTATGCAACAACGCAGTGTTGTTTTGACACACATCGACCAGCTAATACATTTGAGTAAATACGCACTTGAGTTGACCCATTGTTACGTTCTTGGGAAATATAATTATGCATTTCTAAATCAATACAAACGAAACAAAACGTCTGCTATACAATTGATTGAAATAGCGTGGCTTTTCCTACTAATTCGCGCCTGTTGCCGTCCAGATGACGGAGACGTTTATGTCCTCTGGGTGCTGGTGCCCCACGATGTCCCAGCCTGCAGTCAGCGTCTCCCAGTTGCTCACGACGAAGGTGAAGTTCGTCGCTTCTGGGTCTGCAGTAACAATATCGTGAACATGATGTTGCAAGGAGGTTGAAAGACGCGGACATATAGGCATATGTATATATTGTTTGTTAATTGTCTAGCCCCATTCACATGGACAAAATTTACTCATGTAAGCAAATTTACTCATGGAGTACATTTACTCATGTAAGCAAAAGTATATTTACATTGCGTTCACATGAAGTTTATGCAAGGCAGAAGTAAACATTATTTCATAAATAAATTGTGGACTTTTATCATTTGAGGCCATGTCGCTGTCGAAGATAATCAACCAGAGGCGAAAGAGAGACTTTCAATACTTTCTTAGTATGGGATTAGTCTTAGGATTATGCCAGGAAAGAGAACTGTGGAAGAGAGAACGTTCTCAACACTGGTGGAACAATGACGTCAAACGATCATTTGATGATAAACTGTGAATCGATAACTTTCGCATGACACGCGAAACATTTTATGAACATGTTATGTTCTTTGCAAGGAACTACAGCAGTATCTTCCTGATTATCAGTATCTTGGATTTAATATGCTTACGTAAGCAAATAGAGAATCTGTTCACATGACCAGAAATACTCCATCAGCATTTATACTTATGAGTAAATATACTTTTACTAGACCTCATCAGGTGTAGCAAATATTTTTTGACTCATGCCTCTTTACTCCTGGAGTATATTTACTCACGTAAGCAAATGCGTTCACATGCCACCATAAGTAAATTTACTTATGTAAGTATATATACTCACGTAAGTAAAAGTGTCCATGTAAATGGGGCTTAAGGCCGCTTTCAAAACTACTCCAGTTACATGACGTAGACATTACAGGTCTGTAGATAATGGATTCAGGGCCAGACGAACCGATGATTTATGTACATGGTTGTGTGTATGTGTTCAGGTGCTTGCGTGTATGTGTTCATTCACATGTTGGCGTGAATCTGTTCAAGAACATATGTGCTTGTACAGTGTTGCCTAGCAATGTTCATCGCATGGATGGTCGTCATTGACTCATTTGTCGCAACAGGATATGGTCAACGTGATTCTAATTTTGCAATACTCGCATTCTTTTTATCAGTTTGCTTTTAAGTCAATATTTCGTTAATAGAAACAAATATTGATATCACATGTTACGACACAAATATTCATATTCCCACAAACAGCAGAAATTTAGGCACAGAATAAATATGGGCGGCGGATGTAATATATCCAAAGTAGTATAGAACGGGTCCGCAGGAACACGGGTACATGTACTTATCAGTTTTCTATCTATTTTCAAAATAGCACGTTCTGAAGTAAAACTGTGCACATCATGTTACACGATTAAAACTCAAACCGTAGGGGTTATTTGTCATCGCGTTAAATGGAAAGGCTAGCATTGAAACATCAACTATGCAAGTCGGGACAGGGCTGAATAATTCTTTACAAATGGTTCACAATAGTACGCAGCGCGGGTGATTCGAAATCCGGTTGCCTTCAGCGTTATAGTCAATGCAGGGTGACGTGACTCCCTCGTTGTTGCGCGCTAAATGTAATTAAACGACACTGCTAGCTTGCTGATTGTGTAGTCTTATCTATTTCTTCTATATTTTTTTCCATACAGGTTGTCTAACGTTCATGGTGTACAACGTGCAGACCGTACAAGATGAATTTGATCCAGCTAGACGTACATTTTTTATTCCTACATTACCCGGCGTATACCATGTTGACACAACCCGTCTCTATTGCGGTATGATGTACTTTCAACACACACCCTGTATTCATCAAACCAGGTCGCACGCTCTAGCGAGCGCGGTCAATTTGAAACGACTACGTGAGTTGTACACTAATTGTAATTTCTACTAACGCCTGAAATAAACGAAACCATTATGACCAATAAACAATTTGAAACGACGTGGTCACGTGAGTTGTCAAGCGCGCTCAATTCAAACTGGGCTGCTTGTCTATTCAGGTCAGCACGCTATACATTTAGCTCTATTCATAACCCTTTACTTTTGTTTTCTTATGAATTCTTTTCTGCCTTATAAACACACACCTTTCATCCCCCCTCACCTGTGACGCGCTGTTGATGCATGAGTCATCCTATCCGATCACGTGACTTGGATCAACCAATCACCTTCGCATCCGCCTGGATCAACCGGATCAACCATAAAAGGTTCCTGCGGACCCGTTCTATACCACTATCCAAGCATGGCTATTGAATGAGTGGAGTATTACGCCGCTTTGAGTAGTATTTCAGTAAGAACACAACGGGAAACACCAGAAAATAACTTCGGAATCGAACCCGGATCTGCGTCTTGACAACCCAACACTCTATCAGCTAGTCTAGCCCATGTAGGTATAACTTAGATACTTACCGGCTGTACATGAAGACAGATGCCACGCCAGCAGCACGATGGCCCACAAGACCAGAGGACATACACTATGGGGCATGTCAGCAGTCTAGTGTCACCTACAAGGAATTCATTTATTCATTAATAAAGACATTAGGTCCGTATACCATTGAACGAGTACATGGCACTCTACTGCGAGGTCGTTGGCCAAATATTGTTTTGTTGCCATAGCGTTACTCGTTTACGAGGCCAAAGGAAAATCTTAAGATGTAAACTTGTAAATTTGAAATACAGGAGTCTAGGTGGCAATTTACAACAATGGAATGTCACAATAAAAGAAAACTGTTCCGATGAGTTATCAACTTGAGTTGATTGCAACGTAAAATGTATGTTTAATTAAAACAATTATTTATATTGGACATCGTAAAAGTAGTGAGGAAAATGTTTAATGCAAGATCTTTTGGGGGTTTCCTCGTTTCACTTTCGGCACTGATATACATATTAGATAACGTAAAATAGTGTGCGACCAGATACTCGGAGCACAGCTGTTGCTAAAGCCAGTACACCAAATCATTCATATACAATTGACAATCAAATTCAGAAGCGATGATGATGACAAAGCGACATCGTTATTATTAGCAATATACAAGCTAAGGCGACTGTGAATCTCATACTTTAACAAAGACAAACGACGGTCGTAGTGTCAAGATCGTTTGTGCATCGGGCCCCTAGGTCCAGTTTCATGCATTGTAGGGCTGCTAATACCGAAATCCCCATTTACATGTATGTGTATGGAAAAGTGATAGCAAGGAGAAAGACTAAGAAATTAAAAAATAAAAAAACACAAAGACAAAAGTGATCATGTGCTTAGATATCTTATTGTGATTGTGAACTTTCTTAAACAGTTGGAATTATTGTATTATATTGCAATATGGATGGATCCAAAGGTTATCAATTTAAAATAAAAACAACTTTAAACAAATTCTTATTTCAAATGAAATTTGGTTGTCACATTTGGTCTTCGCTATATGATAAAAGCGACAGAACCTTTTCCATATATTCATAGGAAATCTCTGCTAAAAGCATAGTCGACTGTATGATTCCGACTGTATCACGAACATGTGTTTAGGAATCACTGTCAAATAGTGTTGATACCAGAAATGGGAACAAGACTGGTCCATTTTCAGTCCTAGATATAGATGTGATTACAAAACTTTAAGTGACAGAAAAATTGAGCTGGCATTCTTTTTTCCTCAAATAATCCTTAAAACTAAATCTATCTACAGGTTGTTAGTGTGTACGAACTAGCAGACACATCGACATGTAATATGATATAGTCCATATCATCATGACTGTTATTTATATTTTTTTATGATCTCAGTTAATTTTGCCCTGGTTAATATATTGAAGCATAAACACACAAAACATATTCACCGTGGTTTCTTCTTGCTCCTTGCCAGCCTCACTCACACCAACACTGAAGGACAGCAAGAAATAATTCAGCTAGTTAGTAAATCGTATCACGCATGGGCATTATGACACAAAACCCGGTGTTTTCGCCGAAATGTAATGTATTCATTGACGCTCATGAATATGCATGTAAAATTCACCAGTCTTTGTTTACCTTCAGCGGGAAGTTCACTGCTCAGTGTGAATTGACTTTTAATATCACTCATATTGTGTCGGTTTTCCGTTATAAATTCTTTAACAGGGACAATCTGACTTTGGGTGGGGTAGCAGTGTTACTGTGAGCAGGGGTTAGAGGGGAGTGTCTGAGGCTCAGTCACTCTGTTCATGGGTATGAACACTACATTAACCTTTTTAATAATGAAGGGCTTTTCAGCAGCAAAACATTTCACGAAAGTGTTGATCTGCTGCAGCCCGTGCGACTACTCCCATCCCTCATCCCTACTACTCAAAAGAAGTTAAGGACCACCCGATTCGTTCAGTACCAGTAACAACGAGAGAAGCGCGTGTACGCTGCTTATAATACTTGTATGTTCGTATATGCAGTCGGTCGGCAGGAAGTGACAATATTGAGTCGATGGCTTGTGGTATATGCAAGTTTACTTTATACCGGGAGATTACAGGGAGATTACATTTACAAGGTTACATTTTGGCTAGACTAACGAGTCTATGCATAGTCCAATCAAAACCGCGCTGCGAAATCGAAATCCGGTTCGTAAATTGTCATGCAGATTTCGGTCGATTGCAGGATTTGCAAAACATGTGCACCGCTAACTCGTTGCCTTTTAATCAAGGTGCTCACGTGATTTGATGCACTTCGCGATGTAAGACTCGTTTTATCACAATATATAGATATTGATTATCGATCAGATCGTCTTGACTGGGCGCCGCCGTTTTGTTTGAAGCAAATGCAAGTGAAACGAGAGGTGGAATCTGATTGGTCCATAGGAGAGGCATAGAAGGGACATAACTCGTAACAGTCACTGGTGGCGCTACGATCATGCCCAGGAATTCCAAACTAGTTCGGCAAGGGTGGAAACTGGACTTGTATAGTCAGTTAACTCTCTTTCCTCGGGAAGATGCTAATTCCGGCCTCCTCACCCCATTAGTTTAACGTTAACACGACTACAAAATACTAATATAATATATATTAACACAACCTGTTCAGATGTCATATTCAAAATTATATATATTATCAATTCGGATTTCAAGTAATATTTCGAAATATCCAACTACGTATTATAGGTAGTGGGCTGTATGTGGTAGAATGACCACCATCACCTGCCTTGTATGGTCTGTTTAAAAGGACACTTTCGCCCTGGGTACGAACTTACTATGCAATAATATACTATATATACCAGGGAGAACACAATTCTGGATGTATTCTTGTTGGGCATGTGTGAGTGTACACCAAAGATATAACACTGTTTACACAGATAAATAAACACACAAGTGACTTTCATTGTCGACGGTAACGCATAGATCGTGTGTAACAGCAGGTGTATACATCTCCACGGTATACATCGTTTTGGTGTAAAACAACGTTTTATGTGTTCCTAACATGCAAAAAAACTCTCACCTTCTGGCTGTCATAGATTCATAAGAATATCTCGTCAGATCACGTTAAATACACGTGACAAATTTCCAAAGCTCTTCAGGTTACGCTACCCGTGTGAAGGCATGGGCTGACACCTTTTTCAAGAATTGAAAACCGTTGCGGCGCTCGTACCTTTCGTACACTGAATACTCACGCTCTGATTCAAAGACAGCGTTGTATAATGGATCGTCAAAGCTTCTATGCAAGTTGCAGCATGACTATGTCATTTTGTTGATTCCATGTTCAACGGTTCTACAAGCTAACAATGCAAGTGATCGGTGTTTGAAGTGTCTGCATTGCCACCAGATTGTGCAGTGATTAACAGCATTGTGAGCAGTGTGGCTAGGTAACCGTGAACAGGAAAGATCCAGGGTTCGACAGGTGCATGAATGCGTATCAGTTAATGTTTGAAGGACACATGTTGAAGTAAACATGTCAACTAAATATCTGTTAACATATGGGTAGAAATTAACAAAAGGAGCGACAGTTACCGACATTTTCCTTCAATGGTTTCACAAAGAACAAATACAGTTTCCGCCATGATCATGAAACATGCATGAGGAACGTTGTGTCATTTTAAGTATGACGTTGCCCTCTTTCAAAGGAGTTGGTTCTCCGAAACCTTTTAATATGCAGGTGCACATTTTCCTCATTTCAGTTTCCACGCGCTAAACATATGTGGATTTAATATATATGCTAATCAGAAGAAGTTAAAGAACACCCGATATGTTCATATGAATAGTGTTAATCTTTCACCATGACAGTCATATGTAGTCATATGAAAAACAATCGGGTGTTCTTTAAAATCTTTTGAGTAGTATACATATGTATTGAAAACTCTGTCATGGTTAATCCATATTTGTCACATGTTCAAAATCATCCTGTTTTATGCTAACTCAGATTAACAGTACGAATCCATTTATGTTCAGTACTAATTCGTCATTCAGTAGCTACTAGTAAGTGAGTTTAGCTTTTTCGCTGCTTATTGAAGTATTCCAAAAATATCACGGCGGAAATGGCTTCACAAATGGCTTCACACATTGTACTCATGATGAGAGTCGAACCCGGGTCTTCGGCGTGACGAGCGAACGCTTCACCAACTAGGGTACCTAACCGCCCGCAGTAGTAACTAAAGGTTGGGGGACATTAAGTTTTTCTGATTCTCTTTCACCTCATCACCCATGAGAGACACGGGGGCACGGGTGGCCCAGTCGTCTAAGGCGCCGCGATCCGCTGTGCAGAGCTTCGTCCCTTGGACACGCCAGAAACCTATGATTGTGGGTTCGAACCCCGGTTCGCCCCGATTATGTTTCTAGGCACCATACCCGTGCTTTCACCGAAGTGGTAAACGTCTGAGACCTGCATCACTTCGGGCTTTCCTCCCACATTAAGCTGACACGCCGTGATATAACTGGAATACTGTTAAAAGCGGCGTTAAACCCAACTCACTCACTCACTCTTGGGAGACACGTGATGTGCAGGGTGTATTACTGCGGGTATCTGTACGCTGGATCACATGAACGCGTTTTACTTTTTAGCCGTTGTATCGTTTATACGTGTATTCATATTGGAGTTCTATTGCATAATGGACAGCTTTTCAATTCATAACCTAAGGCATTACTACCTCGAAGGAAGAGCGCAAAGAAAACCGGGGTTTGAATAAAAAAGCGACAAAACCCTTTCCATAATCCTGAGGAAAGTGTGCTGTGATAGCCTTTACTCCGTCTCCATACGCGGGGGAAGTGAAGGTACACACACCTCAGGTCAGTTTTAATTCCATGTTCATATTTTGTAGACAGGAAAACCTGGAGATGTCACGTTACAAATGCTGATAAAGACCTGATGTAATATTAAAGATAGTGTGTGACCTATTAACACATGACCTATAAACAAGCTATTCCGATACCACTGCCCCCCGATACCAATTCTTCCCGCCGTACTCCCCCTACACACACACAATCCTCCCGCCCACTCAATTCTTCCCGCCCTACTCCCCTACACACACACACACACACACAAACACACACACAATCCTCCCGTCCCCGATCAATTCTTCCCGCCGTACTCCCCCTACACACACACACACACACACAAACACACACAATCCTCCCGCCCCCCTCAATTTTCACCGCCCTACTCCCCCTACACACACACACACATACACTAACACACACACACACACACACACACTAACACACACACATACACACACACAGAGACTAACACACAATCCTCCCGCCCCCTCAAATCTTTCCGCCCTACTCCCCCTACACACACACACAAACACAAACACACACACACACACACAAACCTCCCGCCCCCCTCAATTCTTCCCGCCCTACTCCCCTACTCCCCTACACACACACACACACACACACACACACACACACACACACACACACACACACACACACACACACACACACACACACACACACACACACACACACACACACACACACACACACACACACTCCTCCCGCCTGCCTCAATTCTTCCATCCCCATTTGTATAACATTTGGTTTGTTATCTAATCCATATACTAATGAATGTTTTGTATTGAATGTATGCTGGCGTTTAAGAAAGCACTGTTCGAATCAAATCAGTCTGTTATTTAGATTAACACACCAGTGATGACTTGGTATATATCCGCTCCTTTCTATCAAAACTCCGTACTGTTATTCCTTCGCTTCCAACGTTTCTTATGTTTGAAGTAACGCCCCTAACCTTTACTAGTGTAATCTTAGGTATATATATATATATTAATATTCAATATGTTAATGCTTTAAAATTAAGTGAGTGGGTGAGTGAGTTGGGTTTAACGCCGCTTTTAAGAGTATTCCAGTTATATCGCGGCGTGTCAGCTTAATGTGGGAGGAAAGCCCGAAGTGATGCAGGTCTTAGACGTTTACCACTTCGGTGAAACCCAGGGGCACGGGTATGGTGCTGACACACCTAGAAACATAATCGGGGCGAACCGGGATTCGAACTCACAGTCATAGGTTTCTGGCGTGCCGAAGGGTCGCAACCCTGCACAGCGAATCGCAGCGCCTTAGACGACTGGACCACCCGCGTTCCCCTTTAAAATTAAGTGTAATATCGGTAATGTACTACTGCATATTGTATTAAACAATATTGTATAAAAGTATAAGATAAGTAAAAAGAGCCCAATCTCTGTTGTCTTGGCAACATACTACTTGGATCAATAAAGGTTATTAAATAATGTAATTAATCCATATGCAAGTATGTATTTCATGACTCATAAACTCCCAATTGTCCTGATGCTTTTTTGTAATTAGTTATGATTGACTGACTTATTTATTCCTATCTTTATATCTTTATCTTTATTTATCCCTGCAAGAGGTATTTCAGCCCATGTACATCAATTTAAGAAGAAAATTGGTAGACTATCT